ACTAATAATAGATGTATTCGCGTTTGTTGACAATAATGAATCTAGGTAAGATAGGTTTTTATGCCATCCGTGATCGGTGTGCACTGTCGATTGTAATAATATTAGTAAATTTGTTTCTAAATATACACACGTCGGTCTGGAATTATACGTCAAAATGTCGTAGTAAACACTATGGTTAACGACAATAATTCACTGTCAGAATTGTAAGATTATTTTTCGGTAATATCATTTATATTACAGATTACAGATTATCTGTCAGTAGGTATATTATCGTTATTTGTTCGTTGCTTTTATTGCACATTAGTTAACAATAGTTGTGTATACACTAGTTACAGACTATAGTTGTTTTTTATAAGTATTATCCAGTGAATAGTATTATAATTTAAACAAAATTTAAAAATGGAAAAAGATCGCCATAAATTAAAGCGATTTTATATGAGTGGTGCAAAACTCTTCAAACTTCCACATTCATTTCTATAACTATTTTCTTACAGCTTCCGCGATTCCTCTCTCTTCATAACATGACCAAACCATCTAAGTCTTTTTTCTTTCATCTTTCCACGATTGACTGACTCTATACCTATACTCCCTCTTATATTTTCGTTCCTTGTCCTATCTTCTCTAGTCACTCCACTCATTCTTCTAAACATTCTCAGCTCTACTACACTAATTCTCTGCTCTACTTTCTTATAAATCGTCCAACAATCTGATCCATACATCATAGCTGGTCTCACTACATTCTTATAGAACTTACCTTTCGGACTCATTAGAATTCTTTTATTGCATAATACCAGACGTTTCTCTCAACTTCACTCATTCGCACTTAATCATTTGCCTTACATCTTCATCAATACTACCGTTCTTTTGCACAACTGATCCTAAAGACTTAAAACTTTCCACCCATTTTATCACTTTCTTGCTTCTTCTCACTTATCAATTCATTTCATCTACCTCATGTTTTCTTTTGTCAAATTTGTATTCTATATGCTTTGTCTAACTCCTACTTATTCTTGATCCCTTTCCTGCAAGAGCTGATCTAAAGATCTATAGTAATTTCATCCATGACTATAAAAAATAAGTAAGGGCTTAAAGCAGAATCATGGTTCATTTCTACTCTTACCCTTAAACTTTTTGTTACTCCTCCCATACTTTTTACCATGGTATAAGTGCCATCATATATATTCTCTATTATATTAATGTTCTTTTTCATATTTATTTATTTTTTTAATTTTATTATTTGAATAAACGCCTGGTAAGCTCAAGTACAGGTTAACATAGTTTACATAATAAGTAATATACAAAATAATTGTGATATAAATATTTAGGGGAGGTACATAAGATCAATTATGCAAAAATGTATGAATAAAAAGTAATATTATTTGGACAGATTAATAATTTAAATAATAACGTTTTAGATTTGATAGATTATCAAAAAAGAAATCAAAGTTTGATGTATTACCTAATGTTAAAATTCTATTAAGTGGATTATTTTTACCATAGTTCGAGTGGTGTAATTTAATATAGAAAGTAAGGCATGAACGTGTATTATATTGGGGTACGTGAAATGATACACGATCTAGGAGAGGAAGGCAGGAGATGGTACCATTAATTAGTTTAAATAAGAAAGATGTGTCTAACATATTAAGACGGGCTAAAAGAGAATCAAGTTTTAGGTTAAATTGTAAACTTTGTACTGAAGTATCATCAATATTATATGTTAAATTTCGTTTAAAACCTATAAAACGAATAAATTTTCTTTGTACTCTTTCAAGCTGTTGTATATGAGATGATGTTGTAGGATTCCATATGACGGACCCATATTCTAAAATAGGACGTACAAGTGCACAAAAAAGGATTTTAAGATAGTTTATATCATCAAATGATTTAGTACACCTACATAGAAATCCAAGAGTTTTAATAGCCTTAAGACTGACTTGGTCAATATGGGAAAAAAATAAGAGGTTTGTTTGAAACGTGATACCTAAATCCTTAATGACATCATATTCAGGCAAAGTATTATTATCAATACTGTAATTAAATACAATTTTAGATTTATTTCTAAGGAATGATACTTTAGAGCATATCATTACATTTATGTTTAGACCATTTTTTTTACACCATATGGAGAGTCTATTTAAATCTTCTTGTAGTAGATGGCAATCCTCTATACAAGATATAGTGTGATACAGTTTTAGATCATCAGCAAAAAGTTGATATTTACAGAATTTAAAACAAGTGTCTACATCCAATAAGTATATAAAAAATAACCAAGGGGACAAGTGCCCTCCTTGGGATACACCTGATGTGACACAAATTTTAGAAGAAAGATGACCTTTTATCATTACTTGTTGGGACCGGTTTAATAAATATGAACGAAGCCAATGAACCAGACCACCCGAAACACTGACTAAATTCAGCTTGTGTATAAGAAGTTCGTGATTCACTGAATCAAATGCCTTTTGATTATATTAATGCCCACTTTAAAACGTCTCTCAGTACTCTATCATACACTTTTTCCAAATCTCTAAATATCATACACAGCTTTTTCCTCTTTTCCCTACACTTTCCTTTTGGTTGCCTCACACAAAATAGTGGCTCCATTTTTGACTAAATACAAACTGATTTTTAGATAATGATGTCTCATTTTTTACTCTCTTATTTATTACCTTTTCCCAAATCTTCATACTATAACTTATAAGCTTTATGCATCAATAATTTACACACATTTATAGGAGACACAATATGTCTCTTTTATCTTTAAATATTAGTACCACAATACTATTCCTCCATTCTTTTGTCATATTCGCTTCTAATAGGATTTCATTAAAAAGATCCATCAACCACCTTATGTCAATACCACTTAATATTTTCAATAATTCTACTTCGGCATTTCATCTGGTCCTACTGTTTTATTCTTTTTCATTAATGCAACAGCTTCCCATACCTTTTTCTCCCTAATTAAATCTACCAGTTCGTCATTCCACGAGATATCTATTAATGTCTCTATTAAATATTTAGTTATTCTGAGATTTTGAAAAAATTTAAAACTAAAGAAAATATGATTATTAAACACAAATAATAAAAAATATGATTTTAACATAGTCTTTGAATGCATAAATTATTAAAAAATATATATACAGAGTGTTAGTAAAATCAATGTTTAGAATAATAAGATGATATTCAGTAGGATCTAAAAATAACGAAATCAAAAACTAAAATTTCCTATCTTCAAAATTGGAGTTTTTTTCGGTTCCCCACTTAAATTTTTATTTAAATAAAAAATAAACATTACCACGGCATTTCCCACGAAATTCTCACAAAAATTGAGTGGTCACTCGATTTTTGTAAGCTTTGCGCTTGTACACTTTGTAAACCCTCCCCTGAACTTTAGGTTCAAAGTTGATCAAAATTTCTCTTCAGTGTGACCCATATGTTTATATTAAAATTTTACTGGGAGTCCTATGATGTAGTTTATTTTTAATTTAAACGATTACATAACGAGAAAACCCACAGATAATGTGATATTTTTTTTAATTTCACAAGTTTCTTCCAAAGTTACATTGATAATTCAAAAATAGTCGTATTGTGTGTTTAGTATTTTAATAACGGGACGATAAACTTGATGTATGTCTTTTAAAATGTGGTAGTATTTAAAATATCAGTGAATATTATGATGTAGATATTAAATAAAAAAAATTAATGCAATTTATAATATTAGTTAACTTAAATTTATACAACAAAAAACTTAAAATAAATGCTTTAACAGTGGGTGGTTTTGTAATTGAAAAAGTGTAAATTTAAATTACATTTTTAAGCAAGTAACGCACATTAAAATTTTTTTACAATGCAGGTTATTTTTTTACTATAGGATATCCTTTCTTACTGAAATTTATGCATTTTTATTGCATAAAAAAATAAGCTATATTTTAAAAGGTATATAATATTTTTTGAAACTTCATTAGTGACTATTTAACAGTGAACAGTATTTTTCGAAGATTTAAATAAATATTAACAAGCTCAGTGATGTACCATATTCTCATTAGTGATTTATTTCAGGAAAGAGTAGTGTGCCGATTACAACAAAATAATTATTTCTAATTATCCTATTGTAATAAAGTGTAAAATATTCAGCTCAAAATATTCATTTAATCTTGTTATTGTTTTATTTCTAAGACTTAAAAAGAAAAAAAAATTATAATTTTAGTACAGTTTTAATGGTAAAAATTATATTCGGTTTGAATAAATAATGAAAGACGAAATAAACTTGGAAATTAAGAAAATATGTGAGTCTTCTCGTTATGTAATCGTTTAAATTAAAAATAAACTACATCACAGGACTCCCAGTAAAATTTTAATATAAATTGATGGGTCACATTAAAGTAAATTTTTTTTTAACTTTGAACCCTAAGTTCAGAATAGGACACGAAATTTACAAAAATCTAGCGACCACTTAATTTGTATAAGAATTTTGTGGGAAATACCGTGGTGATGTTTATATTTTATTTAAATAAAATTTGAAGTGGAAAATTAAAAAAAACCCTAATTTTAAAAATAATAAATTTTAGTTTTTGATTTCGCTATTTTTAGATCCTACTGAATATCATCTTATTATTCGTGATATTGATTATACTAACACTCTGTATATACAAAATGTTATATGATTTTGATATTGCTATGCGCAACAATTAAGGCAATAACTTAAAAATTAAATGTTGAGATTATGAAGTATTTAAATTTAGGTTATACTCTTTTTATAATAACATTCATTAAAATATTAAGAATTTGGTTGGATCAGAATTAAACTACTTATAAATTGGTAAACGTATAAAGTGTAATTAGAGTAAAATTTATTTATGATCTACTGAGAAAAAGTGAGTTACTGCCTTATTTATTGTACTTATATTCATATATACACACATAAAATAGCGTTTTATGTATTTTTATCATGTTTTTAAAATGTATGATGTTCAAGAGGAAAAAAGGGGCCATTTGTATTAAAATTTAGTGATTATGTAATATAGAATTTTTATACCTGCATTATATCATCTTGCCAAATATAGGTGAATTTCCCATCAGTTCCATCACGTTCTAATCCACCTAAAAATACACTTTGGGGGTCTACATCTGACAACTTGATTAGTGTTCCTAGTCCTTTAAGAAATTCAGTATACCTAGGAGAACCATGTCGGTTTCGTAAAATATTAATCTCAGAGTTGGCTTGTTCCATACCCACATAAATTACTCCAATCTATAAAAGTTATTTTTATTTTACGCTTTTAGTTTTATATAAATATAAAATTATAATATATACAGAATGTTTATATAAGAATTGGAATCTATAATTATTATTATATTAGATAGAAAATAGGCTATATGAAATTTTAACGAATTGATAACCAGTTTTGTTAAGTTAACTTTTGAAATATTAAAATTTAAATAATTAAAAGAGGTAAAGATTAGAGCAGGGTTTAACAAAATTATACTTTTATCATAATAGACAGAAAAGAATACTGCTATATTATGTACTCATCTCACCTATACCTAAAATTTATAACATGTAAAATAGTATTAAAAAATTAAACAAACATTAAAAATTTTACTAAATCCATTATTTATTTAATATAATGCAAATAATTATAGAATTCCATTGAACTTTCAAGAATTACCACTAAACCTACTCTTAAAATAGATTTTTTTATATCTAACTTGATATTTCTCACAATTCATAAAAATAAAAAATAAATTATTTAATGAAATAAATGAGTGAATGATTCTTAATAAATCATCGTGTATATTATTGATAGAGCACAATAAGACAAACCTTATGAAATTCGTAAGGAGGTATCCAATCTAAATGTTGGACAGCTCTTTGTATCATAGTTTGAGATAATGGTAGTAGAATTGGTTTAGCATCATTATCAGCACTACTAAAATGGGTTGAGTGGTATAATTGAAGAAATACAAAACTGGAAAAAAAAGATAAATAATATTAAAAAATTGTCTTGTGAATATACTATGTTGTATATATTAAACACAATATTGCAGAGTTATTCTATTTAATTAAATGTATGTATAATTTTTACAAATATTTTAAATTAATAAAAAAAAAAAATTATCATATAAATTTCACTTAGATGCCTTTCTGATTAATGTAATATTATAATTATTAAAGGAATAAGTTTAGTTAAATAATATGAAATTATAAGTACCTTGGATTTATTCCAGATCGTATAGTTTCTTTTGGTGGATTAGTCCGCGAATTTCTAAATAATACACTAGAATTTGCTGGTAAACCAGTTGGTTTTTTTATAGTATCCATCACAGCTAATGTGTGAACACGACCTCTAAATAATAATGGAGGATCTGAATCATTTTCCTGAAATAATTTTAGATAAATTCAAATTAATTTAAAGTAAAATAAATATGTCATTTATAAAAAAGTGATCCCTTTAAGTAATAGTTGTTTATTTTTGTAAAAATACAAGTCACAGTGTTTATAATAAAAAATAAAATTTGTAATACTGTTTTGTATATTAAAATTTAACTATTTTACAATTTAATTATAATAGTAAAATATTTAATAATAGATTTTATGAATTATTATGTTTTTATAAAACTTTTATAAATGCCAGTTATTTTATGTTTTTTTAATTTTTTTTTATGTAATATAGATAAATTTTTGCTTCAAACATAAAATAAAAATGAAAATTATTGTAACTAACATAACAAACAAAAATTTAAGTTAAAAATATTTTTAAAAACTAATAATATACACAATATGTATATTTTTTAATTGTATGCAAATACTAAATATTAGCAATAAAAAATAATTAAATCTAGCACCAATCTTACTATAAATGGATCACTTGAAATTTAATATAAAAGAATTCATACAATCTTCTCTAGTGTTTGTGAGCCATACAATTGACCATAATTAATGGGAGGTGACAATGGTGGTTTAGTAGCAAGGTAAGATGGTGTAGATGTTAGTGATCTACTTTTTTCTTCTTGGTAATAATTAACTAGAGGGAATTCTGTAGTTTGTTTAGTATCAACACTTTCAGCTGAAGATTTAGTTGATGAATCACTTTCATTAAATGAATTTAATTTAGTTGATTTCAGTTGTAGTTTTGGTCTTTCTTTATCATTATTTTTTTTAATTTCGGGAGTCATGACTTCATTTTTTTTCTCAGTGGAATCTATATTTAAATTTAGTGTTAGTGGTTTAGGCTGACACATATTTGATGGTGGAGTTGAACCAGTGCCACATATTTCTTCAGGAATTGCTTCACAATTTGCTCTGAATAAAAAAAATTGTAATTTGTAATAAACAAATGTAATTATAATAAAGTTGATAAGAAATAAATTACTTACTTAGAACCGTATCGTAAATCTTTACTGTAATTTTGTTTCAATTTTTTTGCATCTATAGTATTATTAAACATGTCCAGATGTTTGGTGACGTTACTAGGATCCTTGGTAATATCATCAGATTCATGAGTAGGTATATCTTTCATAAATGGATTTTTCCAACCTGAACTCATTTCAGGGCTAGAATTAGATCTTCTTACTGGATTTCTTGAACGTCCCTCTTCAGTATCATAATCTTCTACTAAAAATTAATTTAGAATTTTAATTTGTTTAATTAATTTTTGAAACTTAAATTAATTTTATATAGAAAAGTGAATTACTTACCATCAAAATATTCTTCATCAACTTCACAATTTTCTTGAGAGATTTGTCGAGAAGGAGTAACTTTAAGAGGAGAACCTGGGATACAAACAGGATCAGATAATATTCGATTTTGAGATTTACTATTGAGCTCCATTTTTATAGTGTCATCATTTATAATACACTGCTCCAAAATTTGCTTCTAAAACAATAACAATAGTTATTACTATTTTATTAAATTTGTTATTCTTGAAAATAAACAGACTTCTTCATCTAAATATTGAGATATCCTGTCAATCTCTCCATTAGATACTTTCACACCGAGAGTTGGATGAAATAATGTTGAAACATCAAACATTGATGAATCAGAATGAAAATCCTGGAAATTACGGTCATTTTGTACACGGATCATCCAGGACATTACACCTAAGAAACATAATTAAATTTACCTTTGTTAACTAAATTGTCAAATTTCAAATAATTTTAAATTAACCTGTAGGGCATCGTACACAAATTTCTGCCCATGATTGACACCAACATGAACAACTTTGCTTTTTGTCTAATCGATCTATACTAGAAAAGCTATCTTTTCTAGACAAATCAAATGTTTCATTGGAATCAACATGCGAAGAAAATTTTTTAGGGTCTTCTCCTGGTGAGCTGGTTGTTGTTGATAAAGATGGTGAAATGACTCCTTTAACTGGGGTATTTATATCAAATTGATCACTACTAGCTTCACTGCTTTGGCTCCGAGAAACTGATAATTTTGATTTTTCATCAGGTTTAGGAGACATTCTAGAGCGATCAACATTTTGTCGACAAGATTGACAACATTTACTACATAATCCATTTCGCACGGGTTTTTGAGTACATCCACTAGTTGTTATTGTTATTAATTTCGTTCCTAATAACCATGTAGCAGATTGACCACCTTCTAAGATAAAATCAGCTGTTGGATGCCTAAAAAAAATTAATTGATTAATCCCAGAATCATTTATACAAATTTTGATATACTTAAAATGATTAATATTCTTAGGGTGTTGTAGTATCCTGTACTTTCCCTATTTCTTTATTCCAAGTCTGTCTCTTCTCTCTCATTTTCTATTCTAAGTCTGTATTTGGCATACTTGTAGTGTACTATTGTCTTTATTTTATATATATATATATATAATTATTATTATTATAACTACGTGATAACACATAGTCTTTTGGATGTTCATTTTGTTATTGTTCAATGGTGTAGGGAACTCTTTTTAATTGTATAAATACGATATTATAATGTTGTTCAAAGTACTTGTGTCTAGGGTCTCTAAACCTATATCCGGATACTTGTCATGTGTAATTAACATTTTTTTACACTTTATTTTATTTTGAGTAACTATAAAAGTACTAAATAATAACCATTTAATATTTTTATTTAAACACCATTACACATATAATGTAGTCAGATTGACTTACTATTGTTGTCGCATATTTCTAAAGTTACTGCAGAACTATTTAAGTACTAATAGGCCCAAACACTCAAATAGTGTTTGGGTGAAATGTTATAAGTCAAAATATTTAATTTTACCATTCATTAATGATTTTTAATTATTTTTTACTTTACTTTGAAACCTAAGTTTGTGTAAACTTTATTCTGTAGTTAAAGTACTTTAGTAGTTACCTTTTTGGTAAAGCTGAACAAGTAGCAAAAGCATATCTTGCTAAAAGATCCATACATGTTTCAGTTAATTCTTTATGAAATGTTAAAAGTTCATCATCAATAGGAGGTTTCAAATCATTCATTGGACTACGGCTTACACCAATAACTGATCTTTCACGTCTACGACTCCCCTAAAAATGAGTAAAAAATTAATTTTTGAATTTTTGACACATAAAATTATTAATAAATCAACTAGGAAATCGTTTCTTTTGTATTTTAAGAATTAATATTTATTGATCCATATTAAGAATCTCCTTGATCAAGCACAGAATGTTGGGATATTATCACTTATTCAAATAATAATTGGTTTTTTGTAGTCATATTAGATTATGATGTATAAAGTTACTAAAATTTATAAAATTAACTCAATTGGACAAATTAATATGAATTTAAAAATGTTATACCTTAATAAAAATAATTGGGAACTACATTTTCAAAATTAATTTTGTACCGAAAAATTAAAATCTATATTATGGTTATACTATCCAAATCCAAGTAAAGACAATGGAATTTTAATAATAATGCTAATAATAATTACATTTATAGATGGTAAATAATAATTTTTGGAAATAAGGTTCTCATTTAATATATATCATATATTGTAAATAAATTTTGTAAAACAATTGCCAAAGTTGTTGTATTTTTTTTTCAAAAAAATTATTAAAACGTATTATTTTAAATTATTGACAAATAAATGGCTATATCATTAAATGTTACTCTATTTTACTTGTATTAATATTTTAGATTTAATATTACAATATGATAGGACATTATTAATTATAATTACTTGTTCTGTTAAACTTGAACTTCTTTTTCGACTAGATGAATCTTCATTGAGAATGTCACATTTATGGATAGAACGGCCTTCAAATGGAACCAAAACATTTTGTTTTAAACCCTAAAATTTTATCAAACAAAATCTAAAAGATTTTTAAAACACATAATAAAAAAAATGTTTAATTACCCACTAATTTTTTGATTGAATTTATATCTTTAATTAAAATAATATTTGACACAGAAAATATTTTTTAAATATATACAAAATGCCCCACTATGTTTTAAAAAATCATATAACTTTTGATCCACTTAATATTTTTTGTAATTTTTATAAAAAATTATTGAAGCTTAAGATCAAAATGTATTATGAAAAATACATATTTTTATTTTAATAAAAAAAATAACAGAAATGTTGTAAAATAATCCAAGGTAGCCATTTTATAGATTAAATTATAAGAAATAATTTAGTAGCAAAGTCTCTTCTTAATTATGTATGGCTTTACAATATATATCTTTTAAAATTTGAATTATCTAGTGTTTATTTAATTGTGTCAAATGTTGACCTATGTTTATCAGAGAAGGTTAGAAATAACACAATATTTGTATATTAAGCACACAGATACTTTCATTGAATAAAATTTATAAATATTTTCTTACTATCAAATGACTTACGTTGAGGTATAATCATGCTAATAATACAGTTATTATTAAAAATAATAAAAATTAGTTATTATTTTGTTAAGATATCATTAAGCTCCAACAAGTTTTTAAAAAAGAAAATAACAAAAAATATTTAGTGGATAAAAGTGATAGGATTTATCGTAACATAGTGAGATATACTGTACAAATACACTCAGATTTATTCAATATCTATATATTTGATACATCATATTTATGCATACATTTTTTATGAACTCAACAAAATTTCTTCTAAAAGATGTGCGACATTTTAGAAACCAAATAGCTATTACTCGATGAGCTAATGATACTGTATAGTGATTATACTTAAAAGGGTTAGTGTACGGCAATGCAATAGCAAAAACAGACATGTATTGATCAGCTACAAAGTTTGAGAATACTTTAGGAAGACGACTCAACACTGAAAAAATATGTTGATTATAAATTTAAGAAAACCGTTTGATTTCAAAATTTTAATATTTATAAACAAATGTACATTAATTATTAAAATTATTTTGTTTATAATTACTAGAAAGAAATTCCAATACAGGTACAGCAATTTGTGCAGTAGCAGAAAGTTTAGACATGTTTAATAAGACTTCTGGTAATAATTTTACCATAATATCTCTCATTTCTAAGATACACGTGGTCAATGCCATTACAACTGGTTGAATACATCTATTGACCAAACCTTTAAATAACATATAATAATATATCTAATATATTTATATTAATAACAACTATGTATTCAATTATGAATACATGAAACTACAAAAAATATAGAACAAAATTAAAGTTATACCTGATTGTAAACATTTAACAAGTTTTTGTTGAAGAGGAGGTTCAAGACTATTATGATATGAAACAAACGCTGCTAATGCTGGATAAACAGCTATTTGAAAATCAGTTTTGAGCCATTTAGATGGAGTATTTTTTAAAGTTTTAACAACACTTTTATCATTAACCTACAAAATTAACATTATATAGTTATATTAATCAAATAAAAAAAATTTTAAAGAAAAACTATAAAATAATTTTTTACTAAAAAACACAAAGTAGAAACTAAATCATATGCAGGATCAAATTCTTCATTTCCAGATAGTATTAGTGCTTTATGTTTTAGAATTTGTGGTACTTCTGTCAGTATATAACATAAAACTTTCCAGTCTAAAGAAAAATAATTAAATTCATATTATTATTAAGTAAAATATTATAAGATACATGAATATATAAAAATACACTAATTGTAGTAGTGTTAAAATTTTTTATCATAAAATGAATTAATTTGATCACAAACAGTTAATATTGTACCATAATCAATAATATTTTTTGATAGTTTGCTAACATATACCATTATTATAACTACTTATTGTTTTTAATAAAAATATTTTTATGATTTAATCACTTTATATAAAATAAAAAATAATTTATAAGAATAATATTATTATTTAACAAATTTAAATCAAATATTACCAAGTTCTTCTTTTAATGCTGTTATCACAATTTTACAAGCCGCAGCTAATGATATATGTTTATAATGCACAAAAATGTTGTTAGATTTTATTTCTTCTGTTGAAAAATTAGGACTAAAAGGAGTTCCATGTCCATATCGGTCTACGTAAATAAATGGTGAATAAATATTGGATCCTTGGATTCCTAATCTAAATCTAGAGTCTGCTCGTAACTTTGATAATAGTTCAAATATCTGAAAAAGAACAATTTTTAAGGCAAATTAAATCTTATAATAGAATAAAATAGAATAGACCCAAGATAATTCGAATTTCTTTTAAGTCTTGATTATACAATATTAAATGATATTACTAACAATTTTAAATTACAGTTTTAGAAGTCCGTGGATACAATATCCTGGTAACTTTTATTCATAATTTATTTTATAACCTTGTTAGATAATTTGGGACCATAAAAGAACATATAAATAGGCATAATATTATATTGATAATTTAATGATTTATAGTTAGTTACAGGAAATAATGTGTAAGAGGAAGCATACAAGTAGCGTCAATTGTGGATAAGATAAGAGGAAATAGGTTTAAATGGATTGATTATTTATGAGGAGAAAGAAATTGAAAGCTGTAAGAATGGTTATGGAAAGAATGTTGAAGGAAGAAAAAAACTGAAAAAGAGGTGGTTGTATGTAATTAGGGATGATATGAGGACCGCTAATGTATATATAGATGACTTTGTCGATTTTGCCAATAGCTGTTAACATTAAAATTAAACGAAAATAATGGCTTATAGTTTATTATAAAAAATGTAGAAAATTATAAAATAATAGTGTCACCAACAATTACTATTCCTATAAATAATGATTTATATTTCAATTTTTTAACAAGGCACCATAGAAAAAAATCTGTGGAAATTCCCACCTTTATCTATGTGTAGTTCTGTCACTGTTCAGTATGCTAAATACAGTTCCAACTAAGGCTTTACTTAACTTAATGAAAATAAAATAATTATATTTTTAAATGAAGTTACCTTACCATTAACCGTATTGAATTAAAATTTTCAAGGGCTGTTGGTTGATCATAGTGATATTGTAAATGAATAACCAGCATATCTAATATTTTTTCAGCTGATTCCATAGGATGATTATAAATAAATTTTGCAAACAACTTTGAAAGTCCTTCAACAGTCAATTTAATGTCATCTATTTCAGATTCCAATAATGGCATGGTGATATTTGTTTGATAGGGTCTTAATAAGATCTAACAAAATAAGTAAATAGTAGAACTTTATTTGACAATAGTAGTAAATGGAAAGAAAAATATACCTTTTCTAGTATTTCAAGTAATTGAATATGATATTGACTACTACACTCCGAACAAATTCTAATAATAAGTTGACAAACTACTTGTCTGACACTAGAATCAGAATCATTGGAAACTCCACCAAAAGTAGAAAGTATTACAGCCATAATTTCATTTTCATATATTGAGCTAAAAATTATTTAATAAAAATTTTACTTAAAAAGAATTACCAATAAATATTAGTACCTGTTTTTATGGTAAACTTCTTCAAGAGTATGAATCACAGCATGTATTCTAATAGTTGCTCTATTTTCTTTGATATAAAAGTGATTTAAAAATAATGTTAGATTTTCAATCCAACGGTACTGAGTTGGAACTAAAAACTCTTTTCTATAAGCCATAAGTTTAAAAATGGAAGATTCCTGTTATATAATAATAAATTAAATAATAATTGAACAAAATACACAAAATAAATGAAAATAATTTTTACAGGTCTATATAGTGAAAATGTTTCAATGACATCATAAATAGTATCTAAACTGCCATTATACAAATTTGTTGACACAAGTGTTTCTATTTTAGAAAGGGTTTCATTGATATGTTCGACAATTACTGGAAGTGAATTGGCATTATTTCGATCTAAAATTTAAAAATATTTTTATCTGGTACCTATTAATGTCTTTTTGATAAAATTAATAAATAATAATTATATAAAAATTTAGTTATAGCTAAACTTATGATATGGTCAAAGGTTTAAAGAAGTAAAGAAACACAAAAAAAAAAAAACTATTTTATTTATTTGTTTGTTTTATTATCATATTAAACGAATAATGTTGATGGCTGAAAAATTATTAATTTCAGATATTTTAGTATAAATATTTATTAAATTATATTATATAGTAAGTTATTGATACAAGACATCATTAAAAGCGGAATGAAAGTACTAGTGGGCTTAGCCTACTAGTTCACAATGAAGACCCTACTAGAAAATTAGCAAAATTGCATGCTTTGTTATATAAAATTATTATAATATGTAAATTATTTTTTTAAGGCAGGGAAAGTAAATTAAGCTCTTCCCCTCTATGTATACAACTCTCCAAAAATAATCTTATACATAAATAACTAGTTAACAAATAAGTTAGATAAATAAATACTAACTGACAAATTCCGCAGTACTTTTCAAAATTTTTAAAACTTTTTCCCATGCCATATTTTGTAGATCGACTCCAGATTTTGTAATGAGACACTCCATACCTAATACAACTTCTAGAACAACTAATGGATGATCACATGACAAAGCCTAAAATATTTTTTTGAATGCTATAAATGTATCTATTATTAAGTTATAATTATTCATATCTCCATATGCAAATATGTTAGGAATTTTGATAAATATGCAGTGAATAATAAGGAAATTGAGTTTATTTAGGCTAAATAAAAGTGTTAAGTTTAATATATGAAGTCCAATACTTTGATAGAAAAAATGAGCGTTCAATCATAAGATTAACCCTGAGTATTCCTTATACCCTTTCAACCCTCTAAAATAGTTACATATTATTTTATAAAATTCTTTAATGATTTTTTCAAAATCATTGATAATTGCTGCATCAAAAACACATAAAAATAGTTAAGTTTATACAGCTTGATTAAGTGAAAATACATAATAACTTACAAAATAAATTGAAGGTAATACTGAGAGCAGTGATATTTTAAAAGACGTTATACATTTATTACTCCACAATGCCATATTTATGTAAAAGACTCCGCCTCTTATAATGCCAATATTATTGTTTGATATCTCTTTATGGAGTAGCTGACATATCAAATGTAAAGCAGAGTATCCCATATGAGTCCCCAGTAATTTTCTCATTGTCTATATATAATAGTAAATAGTATTATTAATTAAAATACAAAAAAATTATGTATTTAGAGAAATTACACAAAATAATAAATGGCAAAAATATTTATTGTTTACAATTTCATATGAATTCTATAAAATATTTCAACATTGATTTTGAATCTGGCTTTAGTTTTTTTCTATCATATCTAGTTTTTGAGATAATTACTAATTAGTAATTAAGCAATAATTTTACAATAAAATGTCATGAAAAAAATAACAATTTTTTTTTAACTTTCCTTAAATTAAATCATGAAGTTTAATAAGAAATTTGCAAAATTTAGCACTGTGTTATCAATTTTAATTGATTTTTGTAACTTTAAAATTGAGTTTAGTGTAATTTTTTAAAAATAAAAGCTATATTTTCTAGTATAACTTATTTTGAATTAACATAAGTTATAACATTTTAACCAAAAATTAAATAATTTTATAAGATTTAAAAAAATATTAACTGTACGCATTTGAATGAACAAAGAGAAAAAAATTGCTATTAATACAAAATATACTGCAAAATTTCGAAAAATTTTTTTATATACTTTTCTAATGTTCTTTTGTTTTGAAGTAATTGAGTAATTATATAATTATATATATTTTATGATAAATATATAGTTGTAGTTGGATTTTACATTTTACATCTATATACTTAATTATTTATATAATTATAAAGAAATATTAATGAGTGAGTTGCTCAATACGCTGTAATATATGATTTATACTTTACAATTACTTATTAAGTAGACTTTAAATATCTAAGACATCCATTGTTAATCTTTAATTATTATTTCTTAACTTTAAATAGATAATTTTCATATGTACTAATAAAAATTAAGGAAGTTACAAGAAAAATAAATTTATAAGAGCTACCTTAAAAATTACACCAATAATATCTGGAGGGATGTTAAAGAAACATTAAGTACTTAGTTTTGAAGAAAACAATGAAATCAATGCACTTCAAATATATCCCTATAAATATCAGTCCACTAAAATTAGCAGATCTCAATTAACCAATAAAAAAAAGAACTATTTAACTTCTGTAAACTTGTTATTCTTGAAATATATTTTAACTTAAAAAAGGAAAATTTATTAAATGATTAATGATATGATATAATTTTTTACATTATACAGTAAAGCAGTCATGTTTTTATTTTGTAGTTAACTAATTACACCGGCACACAAAAAAAAAAAAGTTGTCTGTACTTTTGACCGGACCCACCTACAGACATGTATTTTGACCCGCTGAATCCGAATTTGAAGTCCGTTTGGCCCGGTCACCCTTCAGATTTGAGTAAAATGCAAAAAACCAAAATATAGGCAAAAAATTGCAAAAAAATGGAATCAAAGCGATGAAAAAAATCTTGTGGACCCTGATCAAGTATGATTTTTATGTATTTCAATTTACTGAAACTGAATCTGAACGTTAATTAGTCCGTTGAATCATCAACATTTGAAAAATAACAAGAAAAAAACCAAAAATTGCAATAAATCATGAAAAATCAAAATTATCGAGATGAAAACAATTTTTTGGATTCAGATTGAGTATGATTTTTATGTATTTTATTCCAATGAATTTGAATCTGAAGATTTCTTGTCCCATTAACATTTTAATATAAAAAAACCAAAAAAATCAGGAAAATTGTAGTTATAAATATGAAAAAAAATGTATAAAACACGATTAAATATTTTTATTGTATTTTTTCACGCATAAAATAGGAATTTAGAATATGAAAACATAAAAAATTGTTATATTTATAAAAAAAAATGACTAGAATGAAGAGAACGATTTTCTCGAATTTTAACCTCTTCGTTTAATAAAAAAAATTTTTATTTTTACTAATATCATAAGGTAATTAACTATTTGATATGAAATTTAAATATTTTATTTTTAAGGAAAAAAATCTCGTGCATGAGAAGGTTAAAATTCGAGAAAATCGTTCTCTTCATTCTAGTCATTTTTTTTTATAAATATTACAGTTTTTTATATTTTCATATTCTAAACTCCTATTTTATGCGTGAAAAAATACAAGAAAAATATTTAATCGTGTTTTATACATTTTTTTTCATATTTATAACTACAATTTTCCTGATTTTTTTATATTAAAATGTTAATGGGACAAGAAAACTTCAGATTCAAATTCATTGGAATAAAATACATAAAAATCATACTCAATCTGAATCCAAAAAATTGTTTTCATCTCGATAATTTTGATTTTTCATGATTTATTGCAATTTTTGGGTTTTTTTTTGTTATTTTTCAAATGTTGATGATTCAACGGACTAATTAACGTTCAGATTCAGTTTCAGTAAATTGAAATACATAAAAATCATACTTGATCAGGGTCCACAAGATTTTTTTCATCGCTTTGATTGCAGTTTTTTGCAATTTTTTGCCTATATTTTGGTTTTTTGCATTTTACTCAAATCTGAAGGGTGACCGGGCCAAACGGACTTCAAATTCGGATTCAGCGGGTCAAAATACATGTCTGTAGGTGGGTCCGGTCAAAAGTACAGACAACTTTTTTTTTTTTGTGTTATTAATTAATGTAATTGAAATTATTATAAATCAAATTTACACTTATACTTAACAAAAATTCTAACTAATTAACTAACTAAATTTTTTAAATGGGTCTTTATTGAATTGTTTTTTGTTTTAATATTTTTTATCAATTAAAAGTTGCTGCAACACAGGCCATTGTCTGGTAAGTTTTCTATTAATCACAATTTACACTGTTAAAAAAATGATTTAGAATCTATTTTTTATCCTTAAAATCTAAAACCTTGATGCAGATCACTATCCAAACATGGTATTTTGCAAATAATTTTAAAAATTATATTTATTTTTAAGACAATAGTATGTTTTTCATATTAGTGGGCTTAGTACTAAAAAGTATTAAATTAAGTTTTTTTTTTTACCTATAACACAATATTGATTGCAATATTTCTTTAATACACCATTTTTTAAAAAAATGAACATTATTTTTAACTAATTATAACAAAGAATTATATGTTTTTTTTAAATATTTTAAATTACTTGTATAATAATTAATAATTAATCTAATAATAAACATAATAATTAATCAATATAATTTACTTTCCAACATTGTGCACAATATGCTTCTGAATTTGCTGTATGGCATAAAGCAGCAATAAATATTGGTAAAGATGGAGGAGGCAAGTAACTATAACAAATGATTGTATCTAAAAGTTGTAAGCTTTCTATGACGACTTTTTCATCTTGGCTATGACAGCATACATAAAAAGAGCTTCTGTTTAAGAAAATACATACATATATATATTTATCTATTTCACAAATTAAAAAATTTAAGAAACACTAATATTTGATTGCCAGTTTATAAAACTATAAAATTTTAACATTTCTTCTATAAAAAAATAACTGTTTTTGTATGACAAATATTCTATTTTTTAAAAAAAAATTAGTAATGAAACATAAAAGAAAAAATGATAGATAAATCAATACTGTTTTAAAACTGAAAAGAGCAATTTGATTTTAACATAACATGGTTAATATTAATAAAATATACATCTCAATAGCATTATTTTAATGAACAAATCTTGGTCTGTGTTTTATAATTAACTCATAAAAAAATAAGTTTTTATCTTAAATGAAATCACAATTTTTACCCAATATATAAAAGAATATCAAATTAATGTAAATAGTATAAAAATATGGTTTTGAATGAAAAAAATGAAATATTTATTAGGAATTTTACATTGAAAAATTAGATATTTAACCAGTTCTCAAATATATTTCTTAAGTTACCCTAGGCAATTAAGTTAAGTTTGTAAGGTCAAAGAATTTTATTTTAATTAACATACTGAACAATAGCGTTAATAACTTCATCATCCAAAAATGATCCATTGTATTTAATGAGATTAATTGACATTTGTAACCATTCAATTGTAAACCCTGCAGGTACTAATTCAGAAGCACCCCAACATGTAAGCCAAGAACATATTTCTTCTTCCAAGTATACAATATTATGACCATGATTTGTAAGACTTTCTAATAATTCTAACCTAAAATAAAATTTATCACTGAATAAATTCATATTATTTAAGTTTTCAACAGTAAATGGATAATTGTTATAGTTAAATAATTCATTTTTATTCTATTGTTATCAATAATTTTTAGATTATTAAAAAAAAAAAAGAACTGAATTCTAAAATTAAGTATATATTAAAAATTAAAATTTGGTGAAAAACATAATGAAAATACAAATAAATCTATAACAAAATTACTTTGGAAAATGAAAAAATTCACGAATCAAAAACATAAAAAGTTAAATGATAATTCTTTTTTATTATGTAGAATTATCAAGTTGGAAGATTACCTAGAATCAAAATCTTTTTATTAAAGCTTCATTGAAATATTGAAATTTTAAAATTATAATTTCAATATTTTATTTATTATATAATAAAATAAGGAAAAATACGTTTTTCTGGAAAAATTACTTACCATACTTAATTTTTCAAAATATTTTTTTTCAATAAAAGTACTGGGTTATGAGACTCTGGGAAAATTATTGCAAAAGTCAGAAAATTTTTGTCTCTCACCAGAAATTAAGAAAAATTAAAAATTTTGACAGTTTTACAACATGAGATTTGAAATTTTTATCAAACCCGCCCAAAGACATTTCTGCGATATCATAATAAAATTAATTCAATCCTTTCATTTTTCACCGTTATACGACCTTTTTTTTTTTTAATTCATGCACATGTTTTAAATAAAGGTATTGCTATTTTTTACACATATATATATCTATATTGTGATTTGAGTTTGTAGAAAATGGATTTGAATTCATATTTAATATCTTTAATATCATATTTTTAATTCATATTTAACACATGTTATGGTTGTCATATATGAATTAATTGGGATAGGTTATTAATTATCTTTTTGTTTTGATATTATGTTTAGTTGATTAAGTATACAAGATATTTTCTGTCGATTTCTTTCATATATGTTTATAATATATATATATATATATTTTGAACTTTGGCTTTATAATTAGCATATTATTCAAATCAAGTTTTTTCGCTTTAAACTTATATTTTTTTTTGTCCACAAAGAGTTTATATTAGGATACAATTTTGCATTTGCACATATATTTTGTATATTTTAAGGCTCGAAGGACTCTAGGTCTGGAGCGGAGCCCTCGATAGGTAAAAATAATAATCTTATAATTATCAAACTATCTGGTATTTCTTATAGAATGTTATTATCTCTTTTTAGATTAAAAAAATGAACGCATTCAATGTTAAGAATATTAACAAAATAAATGAAAGTTAATAGTCTAGTCAGCAAAGCTCTAGATCAGTGAAAAATATATAAATAAATAGACAATTTTTGTGAAAAGGAAGTTATACTTTTACATTTATATGTTAGTTATCAAATGTATACATTTTATTAAAATTCTTTCATTTTTCCAATATTTTAGTTATATTATTTTAATTAATTTTTATCAAACTATTTTTAGCTTCGATGCGAAGCTGAGAAGGTATTTATTTTACCATGATGAGTTTTTTTTTTTTTTTTTATGTTTGTTATCACTTTTTTTCAACTCTCACCAAACCGATTTCTTTCAATGATACGTCAAAAGATCGCAAATCGTATCTAGTCGAAGACATTACCCTCAAAAATTGAAAAAAATTCCTTCGTTCCCCGCAAATGGGGGAAATATCCAAAAAAATTACAAATTTAAAAATCGGTAAATTTTGTCATTTTTTTCACTACAAAAATGTAGTTATCAGCACAAATTCTTTTTTTCTAAATACATTATAAGTACATCTTTCATTTGATATACTTTTTATTAAAATTGGACAATTTCCCCATATATAGGGGGCGTTCAAAACTTGAAACATACGTATAAAAAATAGAACTTTTTCAACTTAACTTTTGAAAGTGTTCTGGAAATACTGCGTTTTTTAAACATATATCAAATCAAAGATTATGTTATATACTATAAAATGAAAAAAAAAAATTTGTCATAACGACCTATCTTCTATGCGCAAATGGCTACCGTATTCAAAAATATGCTATTTTTGTGTTAAAATCCTGGGTTTTGTATTTTATTTTATTTAAAAATATCTTATAAGGGCAATACACTGCCCTATTTTTTTATAATTATTTATTTTATAATAGGCTAAATTGAATAATTTTTTTTTTTTATTGGTTTTTTTAAATATATAATCATTAAAATTAATTAAATTTTGAATATTTCATTGTAGAATCTTTTTAAACGCCAAAAGTTATTTAGAAATGATTACTATGATTTTTATTTAAGTGATCTATTACGATAAAAATGTAAAAAAATCTAACTTTTTTGATAAATATACTGTAAATAGTAATTATAAAATTTGCTGACAGCATATTAATCTTAACAATTTCATTTTTATCTATTTAATAATGTCAATTTCAAACTTGCAAATTGAGCTACTTGTTATGGTAATAAATTCATTTTTTTTTTTAATAAAACTTTCACTTTAAAGGACAATAAAAAGTAGGTTCAAGATTATTACTTTTAACATATTAAAAATCAAAATCAATAATAATTTGATAACAATTAATTTTAAAAATTATATAATATATAATTAAAAGAATTACTAACCTTGGTATAATTAAGGAAATAGAAGTTGATGTTGCTTTTGTAATTATCCATCAATTTTTTTAAATTAAACACTATATACAGATTTGCATCGAATTTGCAACTGTGCTGGGCTTTTTATTTTTAATTACAATATGACATAATGAATAATATGATATTCATGAAATATTTTTCAATTTGATGAAAAGATTTTTTTGTTTTTAGTACTTTCTAGTACTTTTAGTAATTAACAATATTTTTGGGTATGGAAATTTTTAAATAGGGCGCTTTGCATTTAAATAATATTATTATCGATTACCTTATTTTGCAAATAATTATCAATTATTATATTATAAAGAAAAAATACCTAACATTTATGGGTCATTTAAAAATTAAGATAAACTGTTGCCTATTCTACCACTACCAAAAATAATACATCCGATGAAAATAATACTATTTATAGAATTATGGGCATTAATGTTACGTAATATATTAGTCACCAAATAAAAAATTTATTATAAAATGAATTTTACCTGCATGATAAGTCTTCTACTATATTATGACTTTTTATAAAATTGAAAATATGTTTTCTCATTATACCCAATGTTTCATACTGACCAACAATTATACATTTAATAAATGTGAAAACCACATTTCGATGTTCTTTAGCAACATCACTACTTAGTAAATCTTTTACTAGAGTCCATAATGTTTCAACAGCTTTCTGTAAAACGATTTTATATTAATTCATAATATAATATTACTTTGTACTTAAGGATATAATCAATAAATAAAGAAAAAATTTTCATTCATTTTTTTTTTAATGATATAAAATTACTACCATTTATACTAAAGTTAATTTTTATTTTATTAAATAAAAAGTACTTTAAAATGTATAATGCTTAATAATAAATCTTGAAGTTAAAATAAAAATCAGAAAATGTTTGTAAAACATTAATTATCTTTACTTTTTCTGTTTAAAAGTGAATATTAGCTTTAATTATACATTAAAATATTCAATGTGTATTTGAATATAATAAATACACATTTTGTATGAATAATAAACATTAATTTACATCTTCAAGTCGATGTGATCGCGCTACTTCAGATAATTCTTTGATTGCTTTAATCCTATTACTTAATGATGTTTCAGATGAAATTTCACGTTCTTGTTCTACCGTGAGAGTGTAGTCTTCTTTGACACGAAGAGCTCCTGTTAAAATAATATTAACGCAGTAGGCTTAATATCAATAGTTTTATAATTTAATTAATAACATTTAAAATAATGTATAAATAATAATTATTATCAAACCTGCATTTGTAGCTCCTTTGTTAATACGAAAAAACTGTTTCAGTTTTTCAAACGTTTTACTGTCTTTAGAAGTCATTTTAGACTGTGGAATTTGATGAACCACCAGTTTTAGCTAAGCGGAATCATAACTCTATTTAAAAATGTGAACACGAGCAAAACTATGGCTCAAGTCACTACACGTAGAAGAGCAGATTCCAGAATATCTAAAAAGTTCTTTATTATGTAATTTTATCAAATTGAAAATTTAATGTGATAGGAGAATGCAGTGACTATACCTTTGATATATGAATACATATTGTATTCATGTATATGTCTATGATCTGTACATTTTTTTATGGTCACACTGGAGATAAGCTTACCTTCGGTATCAATGATAAAAAAATGAGACAAGAGCGCGCTTGAATGTAATCAAATTTCATGTTTTCCGATTACAACGTGTAGCCGGTATTAGAAATTTAGTTCTTAAAAAACATTGAAAAAACAGGGTTTGAAATATTCAGACTTAAATGATAATATAAATCAAAATAATATTATAATGGCATCTCAATTTTACACTGTTACAGCCCACAAAGCCACTGCGGTATGCACCAGTATTTCAGGTGAGTTAACCTTGCACAAAAAGGTAGTCAAAAATTTTTATTTCTTTAATTGATAAATAATACTGTTATTTTTAATTGCATACATTTAAGTTGTCTAATTAAAGTATTAATTAAAATGTTTTAAATCTATCTATATTTTTCTAGTATGTGACTTTATATATTAAAAATAAATAAAGTTTTTAACTTGAAAAATAATAAAATATTTTTTCTTTATAAACCTACAATATCTTTTACAGGAAACTTCTCTTCGCCAACCGATCGTAATTTAATTGTTGCTAGATTCAATCGTATTGAAATATATCTAGTAACAGAAGAAGGCCTCCAACCTATAAAAGAAATTGCTTTATATGGAAAAATTGAAATAATGAAAGTATTTAGGCCTAAAGTAAGAGTAATAAAATTATAACATTATTTTTATATTAATCATTATCGTATTTTCTAGAATATGAAGAAAGACTTATTATTTGTAGTAACAGCTCGTTATAATACTATGATATTAGAATGTAATCAAATTAGTGGTAACATAGAAATCATTACTAAAGCACATGGAAATATATCTGATCACGTCGGAAAAGTGTCAGAAATTGGAGCCATGGCTGTAATTGATCCAAGTGCTAGAGTAATTGGTCTTAAACTTTATGATGGTCTATTCAAAATAATACCTTTAGATAAAGAAGGAGAACTGAAAGCATATTGTTTAAGGTAAATAAGTTTATTATTGTTAAATAATATTTATAATCTATGAAAAAAAAAGGGGTCACCCTGGCCTAGTGGGTAGAAATATTGTTATACCTACTGTGTTCCGTGGTTTAATCCTTAGACATTTTTCTTATGATTTTCTCATTAATGGTATCTGATCTGTAGTCCAAGCAGGCTATAATACCTGTTCCATCCATCATTGTACTAGCCAAGAACCATCGTTGATTCTTTAATATGTTTGTTAAGTTTGGGAATTAGAAAAATGTAAAACTGATAATTACTTTAATCTATGAAAAATATATAATAAAAAGTTTTTTAAATAATTGCATGTTTATTAATTTTTAGAATGGATGAAGTAGAAGTACAAGATATTGATTTCTTGTATGGTTGCACAAATCCTACTATTCTAGTTATACACCAAGATACTATGGGTCGCCATATTAAAGCTAAAGAATTATCATTGAAAGATAAAGAGTTTGTTAAGGTATTTTATCTATTGAAAACATTATTAATTTCTATTTAATGGTATTTAGATAAAAATGAGCTGTATGTTTATTTATTTAAAATATTTATAGCAATAACTACTAGTTATATATTATCCTCAATAGTAAAAAGTGTTTTTACGAAACAGTATCAAAATAAATTCTTGAGTATTTTAAAAATATTTAATTAAAATCGGGTATAATATTATGTATTATCAGTAGTATACATCAAAGGATACATATAGTAAGGATTTTTTCAGGAGAGGTAACAAAATTTAACCATATTTTCTGCATAAAAACCATGCTTTGGTTATGTTAAAAGACATAAAATGAGTTTGGTCCACCATTAAATAAATCTCAGAACTATTTATATTAGTTAAACCTGAAATGTATAAATTTTTGTAAATTTTTAAATATTAAAAATTTTAAAGGAACTTCTTAGTTTTGATAAATTTCTTTGACTTAATTTTTATTTAAAACATTTTTATTAAACAAAAAAAATTTATTTTTAGACTCCTTGGAAACAAGAAAATGTTGAAACTGAAGCATCCATGATTATTCCTGTGCCTGAACCTCTATGTGGTGCCATTATTATTGGTCGAGAATCAGTACTTTATCACAATGGTTCATTTTTTGTTGCCATTTCACCACCAGTTATTAAAGTAAATATTTACATAAATCTGGAGTAAAAAAAACACGGCACAGTGGGGACGTGGCATAGTTGGGTCCAGTATAGATTTAATCTAACAGTGATTAAAATCACTATCATAAGAAACGCTTCGATGCAAAACTGCAGATAATGTTTAATTCTAAGAAATTGGTGGATAATTACAATAGCAACATAAACTATTTCATAAATTATATCCAGATTAGTAATTCTTAAATTCAAAAATATAATATAAAATTTTATATCACATAATTGTTATATTGAATAGTTTTCAAATTATTATTGATTTTGATTTTTAATATGTTAAAATTAATAATTGTTAACCTATTTTATTTAGCCTTTAAAGTGAAAGTTTCTAATAAAAAAAAAATAATGAATTTAATATCATAAATTTTAGTTCAACTTACAAGTTTTAAATTGACATTATTAAATAGAAAAAAAATGAAATTGTTAAGATTAATATGCTATCAGCAAATTTTATAATTACTATTTACAGTAAGTTTATCAGAAAAGTTCGATTTTTTTTTAAATTATTATCGTAATAGATCACTTAAATAAAAATCATAGTATTCATTTCTAATTAACTTTTGGTGTTTTAAAAGATTCTACAATGGAAATATTCAAAATTTAATTAATTTTAATGATTTACTTTAACTAAAAGAACCAATAAAAAAAAAGTTAAAAAGTTTTACTCAATTGAGCGTATTATAAAATTTGATTATAATTGTAAAAATCTATCGTTAAATTCTAGTGAAACTAAAAATCATTTTTTTTTTTTTTTTTTTATGAGTTTTATAGCAACATGTTACAAAAAAAATTCAGAATACTATAGACTGGTAGTAGCTCACACAATTAAATTAAAAAAATTAATAAATTACAAAGTAAAATTATTAACTTTTGTAGTTGAATACTTTTATCATATCAAATCTAATTCGACAATGAAATGAATGATTTTAATTGTTTGTATGGAAAAAGCAGCTTAAAAAGCAGCTTTTTCCATACAAACTACACAGTTAAGCTACTATTTGAATAAGGAATTTTTTAAGGGTAATATCTTCGACTAAATACGAATTGTAATAATTTGACTTATTGTTGAAAAAAGTAGGTCGAGTGAGGGTTGGCAAAATGAATCGTTCCCTCAAAAAAAACCACATAGTAAAATAATATTAACTTAAATAAGAAATTTCTTCTCTTATATTATAAGAGACTATAGTGATGGGATCCTTGATATTTATTGAAGTTATTGAATCTAAATGAGATAAAAATCAAATGATTTGAACATTTTTTTCTAACTCAAATAAAATGCAAAATGTTAATTGCCACGGGCGGATTCGAACCTCGTACCCTAAGCGTGAAAGACACAAGTGTTAACGATTCGGCACATGATAAAATTGTTGAAAAAGTTTTATTCTTTATACAATGTTTCAAGTTTTGAACGCTCCCTATATAAGGGGAAATTGTCCAATTTTAATAAAAAGCATGTCAAATGAAAGATGTATTTATAATGTATTTCGAAAAAAAATATTTGTGCTCATACATACATTTTTCAAAAAGTTATAGCATTTTTAAGTTATAGCATTTAAAACCGAAAAATTTTAACACAAAAATAGCGTTTTTTTAACTACAGCAGCCGTTTTCATGTAGAAGAAAAAGTGTCGGGACAAATTTTTTTTTTCATTTTATAGTACATAAAATAAGCTTTAATTTGATACATGTTTGAAGGACGCAGTATTTCCGGAACATTTTCAAAAATTAAGTTGAAAAAGTTAATTTTGGTAAAAAAGTTGCTATTTTAAATCCCCCCTAATGAGCAGGTTACGTGATAGATTTTCAAAAAAATGATATCAAATGAAAGGTAGATATCTAACGTTTTAGCATAAAAAAAAATTATGTTGATTTGTTGATTTTTCAAAAAGTTATGGAAGTTTTAAGAAAAAAAAGTGAAAAAATTTCGAAAATTAGCGATTTTTAAATTTGTAATTTTTTTGGATATTTCCCCCATTTGCGGGGAACGAGGGAATTTTTTTCAATTTTTAAGGGTAATGTCTTCAACTAGATACAATTTGACGTATTGTTGAAAGAAATCGGTTTGGTGAGATCATAGAAAAAGTGGTAACGAACACAAAAAAATAAAAAACATTCTAAAACGCATTCGCATCGAAGCTAAAATTTAATGTAGAAGAAAAAGTGTGGGGACAAATTTTTTTTTTTCAATTTATAGTACATAAAATAAGCTTTGATTTGCTATTTTAAATCCTCCCCCCAGTGAGCAGGTTAATTGTTAGATTTTCAAAAAAATAATATCAAATGAAAGCGAAATATCTGAAGTTTTATTTAAAAAAAAAATTATGTTCATTTGTTTATTTTTGAAAAAGTTATGTGAGTTTTAAGAAAAAAAATGACAAAATTTACTGATTTTTAAATTTGTAATTTTTTTGGAGATTTCCCCCATTCGCGGGAACGAGGGAAAATGTTTCAATTTTTAAGGGTAATGTCTTCAATTAGATACAATTTGTGATCTTTTGACTTATTGTTGAAAGAAATCGGTCCAGTGAGAGCTGAGATAAAGTGGCAACAGACATAAAAAAAAAAAATAAACACATCATGGTAAAATTAATACCTTCGCATCGAAGCTATTATGTTTTATATAATTTTAAACATAAAAAATGTTTAAATTAAATTAAATTTTTTTAAATAAATATTGAATAGTTTATTTTTTTAATAATTACATAATCACAGGCCATTATACTTATGTTCATAGTTATACATTTAGTTATTTATATTATTTACAACAGTTTTGGTTACATTAAATAATGTTGGCTAGCTGTATGTTTTATATTTTCATGATTAGATAAATAATAAGTTTTTTTTTTATTAGAAAACTTCCATAAGGTTTCTAGCTAAAACAAGATTAAAGTAACATTAATGCTAAATATCATATAATTTTCATTTAAAATGGCCTATTTATTACTAAATTAAATTAAAGATTATTTTATGTAGTGTATGATGAAAAGTAAGGAAGACAGTACAACAATTTGTCTTCTATGAGTATTCAAAGTCAAAGTAGAGAACCATGCACACAGAGTGATTTATTTATTATGAATTACTTAATCAAACAAAAAATAAAAATAATATTGATAATTGTTTGTTTTTTGGCTCATGTTTGTTACATATTTAGTATGTATTGTCCATCAAAGTAAAAAAATTCGAAATTAAAAAAAAAAATTCATAATTTTCAATTTTGTGTTCTTCAAACTTATACCAAATTAAATCTTTTAAAGAGTACTTTATGATTGAAAAATAAAAATATTCCTACAGTATTTTTCCTATGTGTTATTTATTTATTACACTATTGAATTTGATAAATCTTTAAATAAAATAAGTAAAAAAAAAGATAAAACGAAAGATCAGCTTTATTAGTCATATTACACTGACAAAGAAAAAAATACTCAATTACAAGAAAATATAAAGAAGGAATAAAAACAAAACAGAAAATGTATGATCTCGAAGATTAATAAAAATAATGGGATTAACTATTCACAAAACTAAGCTTTGGAGTATGAAATTAAGGCTGTTCTTCTTGATTTAATTGAATTAAAAGTTCAATAATTTAAATTTTAGTAGAAATATTACTTTTGCATTAATTCTATAAACAAAGAATTTCATTTTACACTATTATAGGAAAAAATATTAAATATATTATATTTCTTTGTTAATAATATTTTTTACCATAATTGTTGATTGTGATCTACTAGTAATGTTTAAAACTAAATTATATTTATGTGTTACTAAATAATTACTTAAAAAAGAAAATACTGATATTTAAAAAATAATTATAAAAGAATCTTAAAAATAATTCTGTTTATTTTTTTTAACTAATACAATAGTTGTTATGTTATAATGGTAAACATTTCTGGAAAATATAAAAATAATTCTGTAAAAGTCGGGAAAATTTCTAATTTTTATTTTATAGTAACATTATTATTATGCATGAATTATATTACATGAAATAAGTTTTTGAATAAAAATTCAAAGTCTTAACTGTGGATTTTTATTTGACAATATTATTTGTTTACATTGAATTTCTTTTAAATATATAAATATTAAAATCAGATTAAATGTTGTTTGTTTAATAAGTACATAAATTATTTGTACACAGCAAAGTACTATAGTGTGCTACGCTAGAGTAGATCCTGAAGGAACAAGATATCTTCTAGGAGATATGGCAGGTCATTTATTTATGTTACTGCTTAATTATGAAAGAAATTTAGATGGAACATTTAAAATTAAGGATCCAAAAGTTGATTTGTTAGGTAATATTTTAAAAAAATATTAACATAATTGAATTGCAAGTTAAATTGTAAAATATTTTCTTGTTTTATCAGGAGAAATTAGTATCCCTGAATCACTTACATATCTTGACAATAAAGTAATTTATGTTGCATCTCGAGTTGGCGATTCTCAATTAATAAAACTTAATAATAAACCTGATCAATATGGTTCTTATATTTCTGTTTTGGATACTTTTATGAATCTGGGACCAATTGTAGATATGTGTGTGATTGATTTAGAAAGACAAGGTCAAGGCCAAGTTGTTACTTGTTCAGGTATATTTTTAGTACTATGTTTTATTAGTTCTTAAATATTGGACATTTTTTCTTATAATACATTTGTTATTTAAGGAGCATACAAGGAAGGATCTCTTAGAATAATACGCAATGGAATAGGAATACAGGAAGTTGCCACAATTGACTTAGTTGGAATTAAAGGAATGTGGCCTTTGAGTGTTGATTTAAATAGTAATCTTGATGATACACTTGTTTTGTCATTTGTTGGCCATAGTCGAGTTTTAGCATATAATGGAGATGAAGTTGAAGAGGTAGACTTAGAAGGATTTCAGTCAGATTTACAAACTTTTTACTGTGGTAATACATCTGAAAACAAAATGATTCAAATAACATCAGCAAGTGTACGATTAATATGTTTGGAGTCTAAACGACTTGTGAACGAATGGACTGTACCCTCAAGTGAGAGTATTAATGTAGTATCTTGTAATGGACACCAAGCAGTTTGTGCAACTGGCAATAGTTTATACTACATAGAAATTGGTGGAGATAAAGTTGTTCAAAATGGGTAAATTTATATAAAAATTATAGTAGTTTCATGGTTTTATGATTTTTAACTATCCAAATTCAGATTTATAACATTGGAACATGAAGTGTCATGTCTTGATGTTTGCTCATTCAAAGATGAATTTGATAAAACTACTAGTTTAGTAGCTGTTGGATTATGGATGGATATATCGGTTAAAGTACTACAATTACCTGATTTTACAGAATTAATTAGAGAACCTCTAGGCGAAGGTAATCCTTTATTTAACTCTATACTGCACTATGCATAACAACATTAACAAATTTTGCATTTTTTTTACTTGTTTTTTTTATAATGAAATTATATGTTATATAAACATAAAAAGTCATTGAATGTTTTATTTATAATTATTTAGAAATAATTCCTCGTTCAATTTTGATGGTTACCTTTGAAAATATTCACTATTTATTGTGTGCCCTTGGTGATGGTAGTTTGTGCTATTTTCACTTAAATCCTGAAAGTGGAATGTTAACAGACAAAAGAAAGGTAATTTTTAAATTTGAAATTAATTCTTAGTTAATATTAAAAAGTTAAAATAATTATTTTTCTTACACAGGTTAATCTTGGAACTCAACCAACACTTATTAGAAAGTTTCAATCACTTTCAACTACAAGTGTTTTTGCTTGTTCAGATCATCCAACTGTAATTTATTCATCAAATAACAAGTTAATATTTTCTAATGTCAATCTAAGAAAAGTCAATCATATGTGTTCTTTAAATACTAAAAGTTACCCTGACAGGTAATTGGCAAATTATTTAATTTTTTTATGTCTCTTTCAACTTATCTCTCTCATTTTCATAAAAAAATATTAAGTTCAGAACATAATTCTTGACAATAATTTCTAAAAATTTAACTATTTCATATGAAATAATTCCTTTTTTTAACATCATTAAATTAAAAAAAAAAATCCTATGACATTATTTTTAGAATTATTTTATTTTAATACATTTTGAAATCCATTACTTACTATTGATCTTTTTCTTTTTCCTAGCTTTTATCCCAACTATTTGGAGTCTGCCACCCTTATTCTAAACTTCCACTTGATACAATTTTTCACATCATTTACTTATATATCAACAATTCTCATATTGTGTTTATTAAAATTCCTTTTTTTTATCTTTTTTATAGTCATTCTCTACCTCTTACAGTTTACACAACTAGCAAATTTATTTGACACATCATTTATGTCTCCCTCGATATTCTACCCCGTTTTCTCTTTTACCGGCTTTAAAAATTCTTTTTCATTTTCCCCTTTCACTTTCCACCACTAGATCCTCGATTTTTCTCCTGATTTTGAATATCCTCTTCCCACTACACCACAACTCCATTACCATCAGAATATGTTGTGAAGTTACATTTCACCTAGTTTAACTTTACAATCTTTTACTCACTTTGTGCTCTCTCTCTTCCACATAAAATAATCAATCTGTGTTCTATTACTGCTACTCTTATAAGTTATATAATGTTTTTCCCTCTTTCTAAAATAAATATTAACCACAGCAAGATCATACAATACTACGAAATCCAGAATTTTTACTCCAGCCTCATTCGTCCCACTAAAACCGTACCCTCCATATACTCTTTCATATCCTATCCTCTATATCCATTCATATCTCCAACTATCACCACATCCTCATTACCAGGTATTTCTTGCATCATCTCATCCATTTCTCTCCAAAAAACTTTCTTGTCTAACTCATCACATCCTACTTGTGATGCTTAGGCTGTTAAACCACTTTAAATTGTTAATAACTTCTGAAATGCTGGTCCAAAAATTGTTATTGATTATTAATTTAATTGTTATTGATTAAATTTTTTTGCAACTTAAATATATATGTTTCTATTAAAAAAAATAAAATTGATACCCCTTTAAGTTATAAAGGACATTTCTAAAAAATAAGTATTAGCTGATAAATCAAAAAATATATGTAACTAAAAAAAAATCAAAACTTTTTTTCTAACATTGTATTTATTTTGTGAGTACTCGAATGGCTTATAAAACAATCACTCTATAGAGTTAAATACTAAAACTATATAGTTTTTTGTATCTTCAAATAATTTCAAAAAATAAAGATAGACAGTCATTACACTAGACCTCTCAATTCCTTTTTGTAATTTTACACTCTTAGTAAAATCCATCAAGATATAAATGACAGAATTATCTGCAAAAATCTGTTACAAAATGCAAGATAATTTTTTTAATTTTACTAATATACAATCTGTACCCATTCCAGATGGCATTTTAGAAAAAAATATTATTTTAAGGATGTTGATATATCTCAATTAATTAATATACATATATTTATAAAATAATTATAGTTTGGCTATGGCTACTGATTCTTCTATTATTATTGGCACTATTGATGAAATGCAAAAATTACATATACGCACAATCCCTCTAGGGGAAGCACCTAGAAGAATTGCTCATCAAGAAATCAGCAAAGTATATTTATCATTTTTATAAAAAAATATAGGTTGTCTATTTTATTATTATCATTAATTTGATGTATACAAAAATTATTAATTTCAGTCATTTGGTGTTATAACAATGAGAATTGATGTCCATGAAGGGATTAACTTAGTTCCTGCCAGACCTAGTGCCAGTACAAATGCTCAAAATATTTCTGGAGCAGTGAGTAATCGTATTCCTAGTAATGCTACATCATCAAACAGTAATCAAGGATCACTGAGTATAGGAAACAGTGAATATGGTCTTGAAGTTGAAATACACAATATGCTAATACTTGATCAAAATACTTTTGAAGGTACAAAATATCATGTTTTATAATTATTTATGAATATTTTTATAAAAATATGTTACTTTTAATTTAGTGTTACATGCTCACCAATTAAAAACTAATGAATATGCATTAAGTATTATATCTGCGAAATTAGGAGAAGATCCAACTACTTATTATATCTTAGGAACAGCGGTTGTTAATCCTGAAGATCAGGACCCCAAAGTTGGGCGTATCGTAATTTTTTATTGGGATGATTCATCATCAAAATTAACACAAATAACTGAAAAAGAGGTCAAGGGTGCTTGCTATGGAATGGCAGAATTTAATGGGAAACTCTTAGCTGCAGTTAATTGTACTGTAAGTTATTTTGTACATTTTTAAAAATATGCTTGTATTCAAGGTGATTCTTTTAGCGCTAACCACTAAATATTTCTTAAAATAATAACATATTAATAATCTTCTTATAATCACATAATTATCTGTTATAAAATATTCCTTATGATGTATAGGGGTGTCAAATTTATTTTAGCTTCGATGCGAAGCTGAGAAGGTATTGGTTTTACTAAGATGTGTTTATTTTATTTTTTTTTTTTTGTGTCTTACCACTTTTTCTTAGCTCTCACCGAACCAATTTCTTTCAATGATACGTCAAAAGATCACAAATTGTATCTAGTCGAAGACATTACCCTCAAAAATTGAAAAAAATGCCCTCGTTCCCCGTAAATGGGGGAAACCTCCAAAAAAATTACAAATTTAAAAATCGCTAATTTTCGAAATTTTTTCAATTTTTTTAAATTAAAAGTGCCATAACTTTTTCAAAAATGAACATATCAATTCTTTTTTATATAAATGTGTAATATCATTACCTTTCGTTTGGCATATTTTTTTCATAAATTTAAACCTTAACCTGTCCACAAGGGGGTATTTAAAATGACCACTTTTTCAAAAAAAATTATATTTTTCAACTTAACTTTTGAAAATGTTCCGAAAAGTCTGACATTTTTATATATATTTTAAATTAAAGCTAATGTAATATACTTTATCATGAAAAAAAAAATTTTCGGATTTTATTTTACATTTTTAACTTTATTATGCTATAACTTTTTGAAAAATGTATGGATCAGTACGATTTTTTCATGAGGATTAGTATTCATATACATCTTTCATTTGACATACTGTTTTTTTAAATCCGACCATTTTCCTATATACGAAGGGGGTTCAAATCTAAAAAATGCATGTAGAAAGTAGAACTTTTTCAACTTAACTTTTGAAAGTGTTCCGGAAAGTCTGACACTTTTATATATATCTTAAATTAAAGCTAATGTAATATACTTTATTATGCAGAAAAAAAATTTCGGACTTTATTTTATCTTCATGGTAAAAACAGACATCAAAAGTTTATAAAAAAAATACGATATTTGTAAAAAAATTCATTTTTATATTTTTAACTTTATAATGCTATAACTTTTTGAAAGATGTATGGATCAATATAATTTTTTTTTTATAGATGCATGATGTCTTTACCTATCATTTGGTATATATTTTTTTTATATCTGACCCTTTACCTGCTATAGGGGGGGGATTTAAAATGACCACTTTTTCACAAAAAATTTACTTTTTCAACTTAAATTTTGAAAGTGTTCCGGAAAGTCTGACACTTTTATATATATCTTAAATTAAAGCTAATGTAATATACTTTATTATGCGAAAAAAAAATTTCGGACTTTATTTTATCTTCACGGTGAAAACAGACATTAAACTTAATAAAAAAAATACGATTTTTGTAAAAAAATTCTTTTTTATATTTTTAACTTTATAATGCTATAACTTCTCGAAAGATGTATGGATCAATATAATTCTTTTTTTTGTAGATGCATGATGTCTTTACCTATCATTTGGTATATTTTTTTTATAAATCTGACTTTTTACCTGCCTACAGGGGGGGATTTAAAATGACAACTTTTTCACAAAAAATTTACTTTTTCAACTTAAATTTTGAAAGTGTTCCGGAAAGTCTGACACTTTTATATATATCTTAAATTAAAGCTAATGTAATTTACTTTATTATGGAAAAAAAAAATTTCGGACTTTATTTTATCTTCACGGTGAAAATGGCTACCGAATGCTATTATTGTGTGAAAATTCTCGATTTTATTTTTTACATTTTTAACTTTATATTGCTATGACATATTGAAAAGTGTATGGATCAACATTATTTTTTTATGAGAAATAATATTTTTTAATAATCCCTTTTTCATTCTACATACTTTATCTTAATTAGGATATTAATAATGAACTAGCAGATCATGTAGCTTTTGGAATAGTCCACCAATTTTTTAAAATTAAACAGTATCTAAAGATTTGCATCGAAGCGTTTTTTTTTTATAGTGATTTTAATCACTGTCAGATATCATTATACTTGATCCATCTATACCACGTCACCACTGTGCCGCGACCCCCCTGTGCTGGGTTTTTTTTAATGGAAACATATATATATATATAACTAGATTTTAAAACAGAAAATGATCAAATTAAGAAAATAACTACTCATTAACAACTTTTGAACCAGTATTTCAGAGTTATTAACAATTTAAAGTAATAACTATAGATGAGGAGTGGGTGCTTCTATTACTATTATTAAATATTTCTTGACCTCACACCTCTTCCTCTTAGGTATAAAAATGTTATTAAAATTATAAAATTGAGTAATGTTGAATAATTTTTATTTATGCATTATGGTAAAAATTTAAAAATATTTGGCCACCCATATGCTAAGTTTCAAATTGATACAATCTCCCACGTCATCTATGCATTCATCAGCCGTCCTGATATTTCATTCAATAACATCCTTTATATTTTTTTTAGTCTTCCTCTACCTCTTCGTCCTTCAACGCTTATTTCCATAACTGTTCTCATAGCTGCTAATTCTTTTCTCTTCATAACATGACCAACCGTATAAGTCTATTTTCTCTCATCTTATTCACAATTAACGCTACATCTATACTCCCTTTTATATGTTCCTTATACTATCTTCTCTAGTCATTCCACTCATTCATCTAAGCATTCTCATCTCTACTACACTCATTTTCTATTCCATTCAATAATTCTTTCATCTCTCTCCCACTGATAACAATTCTTTGTCTATCCTTGAAGGTTTTTTACATAGAGAAGACAAGTTGTTGAGACAAATTTTTTTTTTTCAATAAATTATAGTATGTAACAAACATTAATTTAACATATGTTTGAATTTAGTTGTATTTCTGGATAATTTTCAAGTATAAGTTGAAAAAGTTCTATTTTTTATATGTATGTTTCAAGTTTTGAATGTCTTCTCTAGAGGGGAAGTGGTCTGATTTTAAAAAAAAGAATAAAAATTAGGTTATTGTTTGTAAACCACAACATAGATTAAATTTAAAAAAAAAAAAAATTAATAATATATAAACTAGAGAATTATTAAAAATTATGACAACATTGATGCCTACAAAATATTTTTTATATGCCTCAGGAGTCAAAATTGTACCTTTATTGGTTCATTTTATAGCTTAGTCTAAACTTAATAATGGCAATAGTTTATTAGTAGTTTAATTAGTGATTAACAAATTTAGGTGCGTCTCTTTGAATGGACTGCTGAAAAGGAATTGAGACTTGAATGTAGTCATTTTAATAATATTGTTGCGCTCTTTGTTAAAACCAAAGGAGATTTTATTATTTGTGGCGATTTGATGCGATCATTAACTTTATTACAATACAAAACAATGGAGGGCAGTTTTGAAGAGGTTTATTTATTTATTTTTTTATTAACTATTCACTGTTCGTCTATTTATGTATACATTTTTCTTTTTTAACTACTAGATTGCTAGAGATTACTGTCCTAAATGGTCAACAGCAATAGAAATAGTTGATGATGACATTTTTATTGGAGCTGAAAATGATAAAAACTTATTTATTATTCAAAAAGATAGGTAAATCAATACTATAAATAATACTTTAATAAATAATATTTTATGTGTAGCGCACCATCATTAATGAATGACTGTTAACAGTTTTTCATAATTTAAAGTTCTTTAGTTATTTATATTTTGATGTCAAACTGATTAAGTTAATAAAAATTTGTTCTCTAGAGATTTTTCTATAATTATAATTTTTAAATATTCATAATTACTTGAGACAAAAATTTTAATTTACTATTAAAAATTAAAAATTTTAATTTCCCAATTGATGATATTATATTGTAAATTATGACATTGCAGTAGAACTTAATTTAGACATTAACTATATAATAACATTTTTATTATCTTTTATAATAATTACAATCATATCACAATATAGAATACCATTCTTCATTTACTTTAAATTACTAGGTTTCTAAACCTTATTTAAATAACTATTTAAATTGAATTCTTTTTTTGTTTTTATCTGATGTGTCATAAATATCATTAAAACTCCATTTTTTAGTACTTTAACTAGTGATGAAGACCGACATCAACTACAAGAAATTGGTCAGTTTCATTTAGGCGATTTAGTAAATGTTTTCCGCCATGGTTCATTAGTAATGCAACATTTCACAGATACATATGTATCAATTCAAGGGGGAATACTTTATGGAACATGTAGTGGAGCCTTAGGTAAGAAAAATATATATTTTTTTAATTATAAACAAAATAATTATTTTACTATTTTACTTTTTTTATGGTTTTATTTAACTGAATTAATAATAAAATGTAATTATATTTTTTTAATTGTTTATTTATTTCAAATTAATTTACTGTCTAATACCTACTTGTAAAAATTACATTTTTATAGCTGAAAAAAAACGTTTAAAAATGTTAATAATAATTAAATATTTTTACAAAAAATGATTCATGGGTCCTAGTTAACATTACAAATCACTTATTGACACTACTTAAAATTAAGCTATTTGCTCTATTAGTAATTAGTATTACGGAAAATTAAATAAGAGCTTAATTGGCAATACCTACCAAAACTGTTAAAATCTAAGCTCTTATTCTAATGATTGGGTACAACCTGATTAATATTAAACTGTAAATATGCTATTTCATCACTACAAAAAGTTTTGTCCAAAAAATAATGCAAAATATTAATTTTTCTGTAGGATTAGTTACACAGTTAAGTCCAAAAATGTTTGAATTCTTAACTGACCTTCAAGATAGTTTATCTAATGCAATTAAAGGAGTCGGCAAAATCAAGCACCAATATTGGAGAAGTTATCATACTGAAATAAGAACAGAACCAGCAGAAGGATTTGTTGATGGTGATTTAATAGAAAGTTTCTTAGATTTACCAAAATCTGAGATGAATTCTGTTATTGAAGGGCTTAAGGTATAATCAATATTTTTCAATTCAAAGTTTAAGTGGTCCCAAATTGTCCTAATTTTTAAATTAAAAAAATGGCTTACCAGAAATTTGAGAAATTTCCTGAACTGTTTTGTTTTTTTATATATAAGGACAAAGTTATGGAAAAAGTAAACCAAGATACACAGCGAATAACACCAATTTTTGTTGTTTTCCTCTACCTAAAATTTTTTAATTCATCCTAGTAAGATAGGTTTAGAGTTTGGGAATTTTAATGACATTTTTCAATATAGGTTGGCCAAATTTTTCTTAATTTAATTAAGATTAGTTTAACTTCCCAAAGTTGTAGTTAATACATCCCTAATCTGAATTTTAATCATGATTATGAACAATTAAATATTAAAAAATTATTCAAATTAAAATAACAATATTTAAATTAAAAATCATTAATTATTTTCTTTGTAAAAAAATAATTCTATTTTAAATTTTAAAATGAAACTAATTACAATTTAATTGAATTGAAACAGATAAATGTTGTCTCCAGTTTTAAAAAACTAAAATAATGATGAATTTCTATTTGTTGATCAGATAAAAAAAATGATTTGACTACATATTATTTTACATTTTTTTGAGTCAAAAACTTATGTTCTTTACAGTAATTTAAAATATTCACTTGTTTTTGAGAAAATGAGTCTTATACTCTGCATAGAGGTGAATAATCTAAATAATATATACTATCTAGATACTATCAAATGTCGAACTAATATTTCATAAATTATGAATAATTTAATATCTGAATAGGCAAGTAATGCCTAATAATAAAAATAGTCTTACCAGTGATTCGCCCTCAGTTAATATTTTAAATAATAACTTCGAAATTACTGGGTCGAAAGTTATCATAAATTTTAATTGTTTTAATTTTCAATAGAAGACTCATTTAAGAAAACTTAAATTCAATTTTAAATTACAAAAGAGGAAATATAACTGAATAATTTTATAAAAATTATATGATTAAAAAAATATAAAACTTTATTTAACATTCCATCTTTAAAGATGTCAAATGACGTGTAGTTAAGAAATGATCCTGTATAATGTAGATAATGTAAAAATTCCAAAACAATTTTAATTTATTTAACTTTCTTAATTTGCTTTCATTGCATGAATATTTACTAGAGTTCATATGACTGTCAATTCAAAAAAATTACTAAAGATACAGAGATTGGTCTCAGTGATGTCATAAAACTTGTAGAAGATTTGACAAGAATACATTAATTTTTAATTATTTTTTTTAATTTGCTAATTGATTAATATAGTAATTTAATTTGAATAAAACACTTTGTTTACTTTTGTATATACCATGTTTTGTATATATTACGATTCATTTTTATTTTGCAACTATGTATTAATTTATTTTTCAATATTAGTTAAATTCTATATTGTTGAAAAAAAAACGTAAATAAAATTTTAAATAACTTTTTAAATCATCCAAAATATTTTGTCATTATAAAAATGCAGTTGATAATACAATAATTTTATACTCCTTTATATATTTAAGTATTAGTTGTCATTTAACTTCTTATTTAAATTACTTTTAAGTACTTATACAATAAACGATATCATTTGTATTGGTCAGAGTAGTATAAATTAATTTAATTACTTCATTTTTAGTATAGTTGGAGGTTCTTATACTACAAAAATAATTTTTTTGTGATGTAAAGTAACATATTTAAATTAAGATAAATAGCACATAAAACGGGGGTATTTTAATACTTAATCTTTTTCTCATTTTGGTTTGTTATCTCGTAAACCTTCAATAATAACAACAATAGTATTTTTCATCTTATTATGTTACGGTCACAAATTTAATAGTCCAATAATCAAGGCCCTACAACTATTTAAGTAATAATATTATAATTAAAAAAAGGACCAGTATAATGAAAATCTACTATAGATTCAAATCTGAAAGTGACTAACATCAATAACATAACGCTTCAGTACCATTATTAATAAAGGAATTGAAAAAAAAAATTACGAAAATTCTACTAATTTAAACGTAGATCTATAATTGTTCAAATAAGAGGTCAAGATGTTTTTCTTTTTGTTTTAATATGTTTTATCTAAATTTACAGTGTGGCAATCGACCAACCACTTACTTCGTTAGATTCAGCCGTTTTTTTAAAAATGGCTAATAAATTAAATAATTTGACAATAAAAGTATAATTAAAAGTTAAAACCAATGATAATTACTTATTATTATTGCTATGAGTTTATTTTCTTATAAAAAATGTACATAACATATACACATACACACAAGTCGTCATAGATGCAAATAATTTGAGTTAAGAGGTATGTAAGTTCCAAACTTCAAAACATTTGTTCTTGCTCCATTCCAATTAATATACATAGCCTCATTTTTATTTTGTTAAAAACAAGAACATCATCAGAGCCGTATTAAGAGGGTAGCATTCTAAGCTACCCTTTAGAGCCTCCCCCCAAGATTCTTAGGGACAAATCTCAATATTAAAGAGCAAAACCTACAAATATTGATTAATTCAACTTATAGTGGCCCTTATCTCTTTTATTATTTTATTTTTTACTATTATTATTATTTTAAATAACTTAACTGTACCTTACTTTACCTGATATTTTTCTTTTTGGTTTATTACACTGCATTCTCATTGTGCTGGTTTTTTTAACTACGGGGATCATTGATAGAAGAAAAGTCGTCGAAAAAATTTCTTTTTTATAAAAATGTATAGATTAGAAATTAATTAATTTTTATAAACCATTGTAATATTTTTGGTTTATTGTTAGAAAAATTATTCTTGAGGGTAAAATTTCGGGGCAACTTTGAAAGTTAAATGAGAACTCATTATTACTGTTTTTCTATTAAATGTAGTATGGTGTAAATGAAGTTTTGACTGATCAATAACTAGTTTTGTATTATTACTTTTTTAAGATATCAGCATTTAAAGATTTTAAAAAGGTGTAGAGTGGAGAATGTATAGCGATTATTTTCTTGGATTTTAACTAGTAAAAATCTTTAGAATTTTTTCTTAATATCGACTTATCAAAATAGGGTTATAGATAACGTTTTTATAGAACGTAATTTTTTAAATATTTAAGAATAAATAATATTTGTATAAATATGTCATATTTAGTCGTATGATGAAAAGTTTATTAAATATAAACATATTTTTATAAAGTAGTCATTTTTAATTTAAATTGTACAAACATTTTTAATAGGTAATTATTGGATGAATGATTAATTTAATAATCCATTTTACACTAACAGTCAATTTTTTAATAATTTACAAAAAAAAAAAAAAAATAGAAAATTACACCTAGTGTTCAATTTTAAACCTCTTATGACATGTGAAAGAGTTAATGAATCTTGACCCAATTCTATATAACTTTATTTTTTATGAATAAATTATTTTGGGTGTCAGATGGTCGAATTTCAAAATTTAAGAACTAATGCCCGCCTTATAAAAACAATAATAATAATAATAATAAATTCCATAATTCAAACAGAAATTTATTCTTTGGATATATATCTTATAAATATTTTCCGCCAATTTCTCATATAAAGAGTAATACCCCGATTTTTATTAAAAACGGGTCGCAATTTGTCTCATATTTTAATTAAAAAAAAAAAACTCATTAACAGTCAAAACCAATATCTAAATTAAAATGTTTAGAATAATTCTTGTCCCATATTATTAAAAATTTTTAATAATATAATAAAACACAAAATTTATTTTATTTATAGTAAAACCATAATTATGGTTTAGAATGTTTATGAGTTTTGTACAAAAATATGGGAAAAATTATATACCGTCATGATACATTTTCAATAAAAATTGAGCGACCCCTTATTTATTTGTACAAGAACTTTTCAGAAAATTAAGCAGCATAATTTTTTATATTTTTTATTAAATAACTTATTAAGTTATTTAAAAGAAAAAAATTCATTTTAGAGAAAACGAAAAAAATTCTCTATTTATTCACTTTACTGATCAGAGTTACCTACTCGTTCAAGTGATTAAAATACACTTTGTATAACACTAACTATTTAATTCTTAAGATTTTAAGTAAGTAATTTTACTACTCGCTCAATTTTCTTTAATAGGTCCTTATCATTTTATAATAACTGCTGTTTTTATACATCATTCCAAATATTGATAATGCAAGGACATTTTTATATGGCCTAGCCGGTAAAACCTGAAAAATACTATTCTTTTTATTTTATGTTTAGTTTGTTGATAATAATATAAATTATACTTATTTCAACGATCATTTGTTTCTTACAGTCAAAAACATAATTATGGCTACTAAAATTGTGAAATCATTATTCAAAAGGTATTTTTAATTAATATTCATTAATTGTTATTAATTTATATGTTCTATAAAGTACATAAATATTAATTTTGAAGTTACAAATACTGACTCAAAATAAAATATACTTTAATACTATTTAATTTTTATTAAAACTTTAATGAAAAAAAAAATTATTTTTACATTGTTAGTAGTTCATTATATTATATAACTGGAGTTTGGTATGTAGCTAACTATCCTAACATTCCCATTTGTTTTTGTAATAAGTATGACTTGTTTTGTTATTCATTTATACCTAATTCTACCTTAGTTTAAGTATTATAATAAGACTTGTGCTTTTCTCAAATTTAGAAGTTCCGTTTTTCATTCATTATTTAGTACTAATGCATTTATCCATTGTGATCACTACTAATAATTTTAATTATTTTTACTATTTTGTTAGGTCTATAAAGAATAATTACACTCTAAAACTACACATATTACATAAACAAAATCATATTTAGTTTATGTATTTTTTACTGATCAAATCATAATTTGCAAATATTTATATTACTCCTGTATGACAAACTTTAAACCTCATTCTATATTTTATTTATTCTGCAAAAAAATATATTTTAAGACATAACAAAGTTTTGCTGATCAATCATCAATTAGCGTAATTAGTCCCTGTAAGTACTGTACAAATTATTATATCTTATTTATAATTTTTTTTTAGTCAGCCATTGGGTATCCTATTTACACCTCAAGTAAGGTATAAAGCTACACTTCCTTCACTTAAATTTGAATATCATGATCTGGAACCTACAATATCCCGGGAAATAATGGAAATTCATCATCAAAAACATCATAATACTTATGTGGTAAACTATAACAATACAATTGAAAAACTAGAAAGTGCTGTGTCAAAAGGTTTGTTTTTGTTTATTAGAAATATTATTTAATTTGTTTTCTATATTTACGTTGTTCATTCTAAGAGAATATACCTTGTAAAATCAAAAAAATATATTTTTGGGATCAACAATTCAGAAAATCTAGATGTAAAAACTGGTAAAATAGTATCTACAAATTATGGAAAAACCAATGATGAATGGGATGGGTATAATCTGGTTTGTACCAGAGACTTGATACTACCAATGAGAAAATTACAAGAAAAATCTTGTTGGCTTTCTGGGGAACAAACTCGGGATCTTTTAGCAAAGATAAAAATCTATATTTAATATTTTTTTCTGTGTAAATATTAAACATAAGTGATCAAAACTATAATAATTAAAATTTAAGAATTATATGATAATACTTTTTTTGTAGCTCCTGAAAAAAAAATGTTTGTACACATTACCATTTGAATGAAACATTGTCAGCATAAGTAATATGTAAATTTATATGCATTTTAGGTGATACTAATACAATTATTAGCTTGGAGCCTGCTTTAAGATTTAATGGAGGTGGACATATTAATCACACAATTTTCTGGGAAACTCTATCCCCTTGTTCTTCACAACGATCAAGTTAGTAAAGTTCTATCAAAATTTATGTTTAATTCTAAAAAATATTTTCACCATCATAAGTTGTCTTTTAGATACATAATGAAAGTTTCTTAAGCATGTATACTATAGAGTTAATAGTTATTGTGTCCTTGTAGAAAGAGATGGTCATTTCAGTTAGTGAGCTGATTTCTCATTTAGTATATACAGCTGCTTATTACCGTGTTTTAAACTATAGACAATATGTGTTTCGTCACTAATGATTAACTCAGTCACAACATCTTTTTTACTATACTTTTTAAATATAGTTCATCAAAATTGTAGTATATAAAATTTGATAAAAACCAGTGTTTAAACAATTGTTTATATCTCCCAGTGGGATATATGACATATTCCAACTAACAATTTATTTCTTTTTTAAATTGTATAGATACTTTCATAAATTTGAGCTAATTATTATTTTCACATCTACTAAAATTTTTTCTTATATTGGGCTGCTTTGTAGCTGTTGGTATTAGAGATTAATGAGGTTTTATTATTGGTAGTCTAACTCAAATGTACTACTTTAGTATACCATATATATATATATGGTATAAGTCCAGTTTACCGGGCACCCTTTTTTTTTTCAATTTTTATTTTTTATTGTATATTAATATAATGTAAAAACTTTTAAGCAGAAGCAAGTGGTTCAAATTTACAGTATTTTAAAGTTATAGGTTATTTTGTCAGCTAACTTTAAATGGAGACAGTCATTATTTACAGGTGTTCATTTTTCTGAAATAGTAGTCATTGTAATACACTTGATTTATATATTTATATAATAGATATGAATTGTTCTTATTGATTATGATCGTTTACAATCTATACAAAAATATGTGTTGACACGTTCATCAGTGTGCTATAATCTTTAGTAGTGGCAAGTTGGATATATCAGGTATTTTTTTTGAAGTAAAACTTTTTTATAGAGGGTCTGAAAAAAAAATAGAATATCAAGCGCATGATCGGCATCACTGTTGGTGATGGTCGTCTTTAAATTATATTTTATATTATAATTTAGTACTATATTTTCGAAAATTAAAGTGATTTTTATTTAAAATGTATTAAATAATTTAATTTTAATTAATTTTGATTGTGCATAAAAAAATTTGTCCAAATGGGGTGTTAAAATATAGTATGATACAATACAAACTTAATATTCTATCAGTTGGAGGAATTTGAAAGAAGTTTCACTTTAAACAAGCGTATTTGTAACACACATTGGTTTTTGTATTAAGCTCATTTTTTATTCCATTTTAAGTATAATTTAAATAATTTCAATTTTATTCCTTTTCCTTATTTTCTTCCTTCTCTTTGTCGTTAATGTTTATATCAATGTTTTCTGAATGGTATTACATTGCTACATTTTTTTTTTAATTTTATGGTTGAATATATTGTTAGCTTTTTGCGTTTTTTGAAAAACATATATTTTGTAAAGTGGAGTTAAGATATTTTTTAGATTAGTATAAATAAATATTTAATGGTAATTAAAATTACTGTTGTTAAATATTTCGTTGCATATTTGTAACATAATAAAATAAAAAAAAACCAGTACAGTGTGGTCGCGGCACAGTGGGGACGTGGTATAGATGGGTCCAGTTTAGATGATATATGACAGTGATTAAAATCACTATCATAAAAAATAATTCGATGCAAATCTGTAGATAGTCTTAAATTAAAAAAAAATTGGTTGATTATTCTAAAAGCAAAATAACTCCTATTTCTATTATTATTCCTAATTAGTAGTTGATTTATAAGTATAACTTATTATTAATATCTATTAAAGCAATTCAATGTAGTATGAAATTGATATTTAATAATTTAGTATTATAAATTTTTCAATGAATTTATAAAAAATTATAAAGTAGTTATTACTTTTATGGCAAACATTTATAAAAATTGAAGGGCTTGACATAGAACTTTTTAGATAATAATTTGTTGTTATGATTAAATGTTATGCAAAAAATTTTTATCAGAGTAAAAAAGATAGTTTTATTATTCAATTTTTTGTACTAATTTCAAATTAGTAATTATATTTTTTCCATCACCAATAATTTTAGATATTATTACTAATTAGTTAAAAACTATAAGGAAAATAGTTTTGAATATTTCAATTGTAACATCTATTTAAATACAAAGAATTACATAGAAATTAATAATATTTCTTTTGAAATTATTTATTACAATAAAAAAATTATTAAAAACACAAATAATTGTTTTTAAATTATTACAGATTTTCATTTTTAATATTTTAAAAATAATCAGTGCAAAATATATTTATTAACCCATTTTTTAGTATTTTAAAGTTGATTTTTTGAAAGTTTATTATAATAAAATGTTGAATTTGTTACCATAAATTTTAGCTTAACTTCAAGTTTGAAATTTACATTATTAAATAGAAAATTTTATGAGAATAAAAAAATAGTATTGTTAAGGTTAATATGCAGTCAGGAAATTGTATAATTACAATTTACTGTAAATTTATCAGAAAATATCAATATTTTAGATATAAATGACATTTATATCCCTTTTTCATTCGACATACTTTATCTTAATCAGGATATTAATAAGGAACTAGCAGATCATGTAGCTTTTGGAATAATCCACCAATTTTTTTAAAATTAAACGCTATCTAAAGATTTCCATCGAAGCGTTTTTTATGATAGTGACTTGAATCACTGTCAGATATCATTATACTTGATCTAACTATGCCACGTCACCACTGTGCCATGATCCCCCTGTGTTGGGTTTTTTCAATTTTTTTTACTAAAAACAGCCATAACTTTTTCAAAAATGAACATATCAATATAATTTTTTTTTATAGATGATTGATGTGTTTACCTATCACTTGGTATATTATTTTTATAAATTTAACCCTTTACCAGCCCATAGGGGGGATTCAAAATAACATATTTTTCACAAAAATTTACTTTTTCAACTTAACTTTTGAAAGTGTTCCGGAAAATCTGACACTTTTATATATATCTTAAATTAAAGCTAATGTAATGTACTTTATTATGAAAAAATTAATTTCTGACTTCATTTTGTCTTCACGGTGAAAATGGCTTTTTCATATTCATGTTCTAGCGTTAGACAAATTTAAAACTAGTTTTTATTTATATCTGACAGTGATTAAAATCAGTATCATTAAAAACGCTTCGATGAAATCTGTAGATAGTGTTTAACTTTAAAAACTTGATGGATTCTTCCAGAAGCTATCCTGATTAAGATAAAGCGTGTCGAATGAAAAAGGTATATAAATATTATTTCTCATAAAAAAATTGTGTTGATCCATACACTTTACAATAAGTTATAGCATTATTTAGTTGAAATTGTAAAAAATAAAATCGAGAATTTTCACACAAAAATAGCTTTTGTTAGCCATTTTCACCGTGAAGACAAAATTAAGTCAGAAATTAATTTTTTTCATAATAAAGTACATTACATTAGCTTTAATTTAAGATATATATAAAAGTGTCAGACTTTCCGGAACATTTTCAAAAATTAAGTTGAAAAAGATCTATGTTTTTTACAATATTTCAAGTTTTGGATGTTCCCTATATAAGGGGAAATTGTTCAATTTTAATAAAAAGTATGTCAAATGAAAGATGTACTTATAATGTATTTAGAAAAAAAAAAATTGTACTGATATATAAATTTTTCAAAAAGCTATAGCATTTTTAAGTTGAAAATTTAAAATCGAACATTTTAACACAAAAATAGCGTTTTTTTAACTACTGCAGCCATTTTCATGCAGAAGAAAAAGGGTCGGGACAAATTTTTTTTTCATTTTATAGTACATAAAATAAGCTTTAATTTGATATATATTTGAAGTACGCAGTATTTCCGTAACATTTTCAAAAATTAAGTTGAAAAAGTTAATTTTGGTAAAAAAGTTGCTATTTTAAATGCCCCCTAATGAGCATGTTACGTGATAGATTTTCAAAAAAATGATATCAAATGAAAGGTAGATATCTAATGTTTTAGTATAAAAAAAAATTATGTTGATTTGTTGATTTTTCAAAAAGTTATGGAAGTTTTAAGAAAAAAAAGTGAAAAAATTTCGAAAATTAGCGATTTTTAAATTTGTAATTTTTTTGGATATTTCCCCCATTTGCGGGGAACGAGGGAATTTTTTTCAATTTTTAAGGGTAATGTCTTCAACTAGATACGATTTGTNGATATTTCCCCCATTTGCGGGGAACGAGGGAATTTTTTTCAATTTTTAAGTGTAATGTCTTCAACTAGATACAATTTGACGTATTGTTGAAAGAAATCGGTTTGGTGAGATCATAAAAAAAGTGGTAACGAACACAAAAAAATAAAAAACATTCTAAAACGCATTCGCATCGAATCTAAAATTTAATACATCTACGAAAAATTACATGGTTTTGTCTTTATAGGTTAATTACTTACAGAGTACAAGTTATCGGAATATTTTTTTTTTTTTGTTTCATGTATTATAAAGGCTTCAATTTGTACTAATTTAGAATTATATAAGTATTTTGTTACTATGCAAAATATTACAAAATAAGACATTTTTCTTAAAATCCTATGAATTTTTGTTTTAAAGACCTACATTTTGAATAGTTTTTCATCTTAAAGTACATTGTTCTATCTTTAATCTGACGTAGGATATTTTTTCAGAACATAATTTCTTTTTTTAATCGTATAATACATTATGAAACTTTAAGTTTGATTTAGTTTTGAATGGTGTAATGATCCATTACTATGCAAAAAAATGTCAAACTATGCTAATTTTATTAAAAGTTTCTTTCTTTGATTAATCAGCCGCTAGGACCATCCCGTCTCACAACCAATTCTCCAGCCATCTCTATTTATCACCAAATCCTTCCAGTTTGCTTCGCCTCCTTAGTCTTCTATATCCCTCTTAACTATATCTCGCCATCTCAATTTTGGTGTTTCCAAGAGCCTTTTTCCTACTGGATTCTGTTCCAACATCATTCTTAGTAGAGAGTTCTGGTTTCGCATTGCAGGCCCTGCCCATCGCAACCTTTTTTTCTTGATCGTCTCTGCTATGTTATTTTCATTAAAAATTTCTTGTAGGTATATTTTTCCTTCTTCTCCACTCTCCTGTGGTATCATATTTTATGGGACCGAAGATCTTCCGTAATATTTTCCTTTCTAGTATTAAGAACTTATTCTCATCTGATTTCCTTAGTGCCCAGGTTTCTGATCCGTACAATATCACTGGTCGTATTACACTGATATATAAATTTCTCTTTATCTCTCTTGATAATGATCTAGAACTTAATAGTGTCTCCAAACCATAATAAGTCCTGTTTCCCACTTGGATTCTCGCAGCTACTTCCTTGGTGATATCATTTTTTTCACTCACAATTGAGCCAAGATATTTGAAAGAATTGACTCTCTTAAATTTAAAATGATCTACCTCCAAAACGTGATCCATCCAATTTTGTCTACCTATAATCATATATTCAGATTTTTGTTCATTCATTTGTAGTCCTACTTTCTGTGCTTCATCATTAAGTCTTTAACAGAGCCGTTTAATTCTATCTTGATATTCGTCCATCATTACTATATATCATCACAGTTCAGTAGCTCTCCAAAGTATTTCTCCCATTCTTTAGCTATATCTTCATCTGTAGTAACCATTACTATCTCTAATAAAACGTTCGCTTCTTTTGAAAAGTCCACTTATATTCTTAATTGTCTTATACATATCACGTATTTTATTTGCTTTAAAATATTGTTCTGTCCTTTCAAGCAAGTTACACACAAATTTTCTTTTCTCATATCTTAAAATATTATCTGCTTCCTTTCGTCGTGTAATAAACCTTGTTCTTTTTCTCACATATATTATTGAACCACACTTTTGATACCTTTCTTTTTGTTCCTATTACTCCCGTCGCTGATGCTTCTATAGTATCTTTGACATTCCATATTTTATTCACATCACTGATATGTTTTATCTACTTCTCTTCAAAAATCTTCTTGGTTGTGCTGTTATAATCCTTGAGAATCCTTTTGTCTTCCAACTTCTTCACATCATATCTTCTCATGGATGTTGCATTACATTTATTGTGCTTTTTTAGCTTTATACGTATCAAAAGACCCATTAGTAAATGATCAGAGTCAGAGTCTGCCCCACGTAATGTTCGAACATTAGTAATTCCATTCTTAAACCTCTCATTTACCAGAACGTGGTCTATCTGATACTTATATTTTCCATCAGGGGATACCCAGGTGTACTTATGAATCTCCTTGCGCGGGACCATAGTGCTTTTTATATAAAGTCCTTTTCCTACTGCAAAATTAATTAGCTTCATACCGTTGTCATTCGAAGCTTCATGTAGGCTATGTGTCCCGATTACCGCTCTATACAGCACTTCCTTACTGATTTTAGCGTTAAAATCACCTAGAACTACTTTAACATCACCAACTGCTGTATCCATTACGTTTTTTAATATAGAGTAAAACTCTTCCTTCTCTTCGTCGTCTTTTTCTTCGGTTGTTGCGTGAGCATTAATTAGAACTATTCGAAAATCTCTAGTCCTTAGTGTTAGCGTGGAAATTCTTGGGTTAATATCCCTGAAATCCTTCACTATGTGGATTATTGATTCATGTATCGCGTAATCAGTCCCTAATCTATGTCCTTGTTCACTATTTCCGTTATAGATGGTTGTTTGAGATATTTTACTAGATCCTGCATCTTCCTATCTCACTTCTTGCAGGGCAATACATCTTATTTTATACTTCTCTGCTACTCTTACTAAATTCAATGCTTAAATAAAGTTCGTAAATTCCAAGTACCACAAAATAAATCCGATTTCCAATTTTCAGTGATTTTTCCAAATAATCTATCCAGAGGCTTGGTGTTAGAGTCCTGAAAAAAGATTGTTCTACTTGGCAGAGTTGTTATCCCTGCGCTAAACCCCCAACCTGGAGGACCATTCTACACCAACCACTTAAGGTCAGCGTGGGGCTATTGCAATATACTTTGCAATGTATTATGCGATGGGAGCGCCACTTTCCTTAAGTCAAAGCTTGGGGCCTCAGGTTTGCTGAACCCGTAACACTGAGTGTACCTTTTTGATTTATGAATTTAATTAATGCTCAATAACTTCTGAAAATTGAACTTTCAGATAGTTTTTCATTTTTTAACTTTAAAGTACATTGTATAATTTAATGTAGGAAAATTATCAAAAAAGCCACACAGAACTTTGTTTAATGATTAAATTTTCAAAACAAACATCCTCAGTAACTCAAGTTTTTTAAGTATTATTGATATTTTCAATAATCTATCTAGCTTTCAAAGAGTTATATTTATATAAAATGAAAACTAAAAATATAAATATAGACTGTGTTACGATTGTTCATTTTCGCGATAATTCTTTTTATTACTGGGACTATTGGAAATTTTTTTAAATTATTGGACTGATAACTTCAACTAGATATGTTTTGCTATCTTTTGAAGTATTGTTGAAAAAATTCAGTCCATTAAAAGCAGAAGTAATGACAGGTACAAAAATACAAAAAAAAAAAAAACAGCTAAGTAAAACCAATTGCTTCTCAGTTACATATTGAAACTAAATTCGAAAAAAGGTGCCTGAAAACTAGACTTATACCTTTTCTTAAGTATAGATTTGTTTTGGTACTTCGATGTTTTATAGTTTGAGCTATACATTTTTTTTTATTCATAGGCGATCTTGATAAAGCAATAATACAAAGCTTTGGTTCATTTGAAGCATTTAAAAATAATTTGTCGGCTGCATCAGTGGCTGTTCAAGGATCAGGATGGGGTTGGCTGGGCTATAATCAAAAGAATAAAAAATTAGTTACAATATCATGCCCAAATCAAGATCCATTATTTGCTACTACAGGTAAATAAATTTTTCAGTATTAAATTTTAAACAAATTTTAATTATAATTTTAAACAATTTCAGGGCTTTATCCTCTATTTGGAATTGATGTTTGGGAACATGCATATTATTTACAATATAAAAATGTACGTGCTGACTATGTTAATGCAATTTTTGATGTTATTAACTGGGAAGCCGTATCAAAACGTTATAATGATGCAATAAGCCAATAAAAATGTTTTAATTATTAATATTTAAATTTTTTTTTTAAATTGCTTTAAATTACAAAATGCATTTGTTTTCAACATTTTTCTATTAATATTGTGAAATTGTTATGATTTTATTTATAATAGAGCATGATTTCTCAATGAATTTCTTAATGTGTATTTCTTTTTATTTAAAATTTTATTAATAAAAAAATAATTTATCATGACGATTTTTTAAAGTTACAGTTATTAAAAAAAATTTTATTTCAGTTAAGGTTTGAATACATATCAAAATATATATAAGTAGGGTATATAATTTAGGGGATTCTAAGCCCCCCCGCCTCACCCCAATTTTTATTTTATAACATTTTATTTTATTATATTTAATTTGAGAATTTTTTATTGAAATAGTGTACGTCAAGTTGTGGCCGCCGTCACCACACTTTTTCTTGACTTTTCCTTGAACGACTTGTTAACAAACTATGATGTTATCGGTGGTTACAATCAAGTAATTGTCACCGTCGAGAACGTCCTACATACAATCATTGGTAATAACACTTCGGTGATAACATCTAAGTGGGTAAACCGAATCAAAACAATATGGTATGACGCGCGCATAATGGGTGACACCCAATGAAAACTAACCTAAGTCGGGGGGGGATGAAACTCGACGTAAACAAACTTGCTGCACGTCTATAGATTGTATATAATAAATAAATTCTAAAAATTTTATCATTGGCTACCAGACGCATAGCTAAGCATATTTCAAACATCAAAGGTACCGCCATATTATAACCCACATTACCGTCTACATTTTACGAAAAATAATTGGAGTCTGCGTTTTATCAAAGTTATCTTTTTCTAAGAATTTTTATCATTGCCTACCAGACTATTAGATAAACATATTTCAAACATCAAAGAGGTCACCGCACAGTAATGATCATTGTCGAATGCATTTATTTTTTACATAGTATTTTATCGTTGGTTACCAGACGCTTAGGTCACCATATTTCAGACTTCAAATGTATTACTATATTATAACGTTCATAGGCGTCAGCATTTTATGAAAACAATGACAACGTCTGTCGTTATGACATTTTCGTAGTTTCTAAGAATGTTATCATCGGTTACCAGACGTTTAGGTCAGCATATTTCAAACATCAAAGAGGTCACCGCAAAGTAATGATTATTGTCGTATGAATCTTATCATCGGATGTCAGATGCTTAGGTAATCAAATTTCCAACGTCAAATATGTTACCATATATTAATGGTCACTGTCGTATACATTTTATGAGAAAAATGGCAACGTTGTCTTTTTTCACGCCTACGCATTTTATTATTTTACTATATAACCGGTTAAACGCACTGTATCCTGTCACATACGTGTTCAATACGGCTTGGAACGAGATGACGTTAAGATGAAGTGGTTGGTGTATCCTCTAAGAGTCGCCGACCAAGAGCAATAGAATTATTTTGACCTGTTGTACATCGGTGACTCTGAAAAATCACATTACGCGTACATTTCCGATTTTTCGAGGCTCGTGCGCAGCCAAAAAACTAATCACAAATGCCGCATATACACTTGCAAACGTTTCTTCACCAGCTTTGATGATCAGCCTAAAAAGCATATTCTTCGGGGTCAACAAGCGTTGGTGCAACACAAGTTGATATGCGGCAAGAACAAGCCTATTTTACCTGTTATGCCGGCAGAGGGCAGTAAGGTCGAATTTGACGCGTGGGTAAAGACGCAACGGTTACCGTTCGTCATCTACGCCGATTTTGAGGCCTTACTGGAGAAATCAGACGATCGTATGGGTGCATACACCAGGACTGTGCACACCCACCATCCCATGAGCTACGGGTTCATGGTGAAAACATCGGACGATGTGCCCTCCGAGCTCCTCGAACGCTATGGTATACCACAATCACCGGTGATATACCGTGGGTCCGAGGATCGCGAAGAGGTTGCCAAGGCATTTGTGATGGCTGTAACTGAAGTGACGCGCAACATTTTTAAATTGTTGCGCAAAACCAACGTTCCCATCCGAATGTCTGTCGATGATGTGCGCAGGCACGGGGAGAAAGTGGTATGCGACTTATGCCGTACAGCATTCAAGGAATCTAACCCCAAAATCGCAGACCACTGCCATTTATCGGACTGATTCAGACAGACGTTGTGCAATGCTTGTAACCTGAAAGTAAAGACGGTCAACTTTGTCCCATGCTTCTTGCACAATCTTTCAGGTTACGACACACATTTCATCGTTACTGAATTGGGGTACGACGACCAAAGGATTTCGGTCATACCGAATTCCGAGGAGAAGTATATTTTGGTCACGAAACACATGACCAATAACTTCTCCATACGGTTCGTCGATACCTTCCGATACATGGCCTCCTCCCTGTCCACCTTGACCGGTAACCTAATGACGCCCATCTTCGTTAAATTCCGGTAGACGGCCTAGGTGTTCCGCCCGGAAGACATGCCGTTGGTGACGCGTAAGGGTGTATACCCCTACGAGTACACTGATAGTTGGGCTAAATTAGACGAAACGGAACTACCACCTCAGGACGCTTTCTATAGTCAGTTGAGTGAGTCTAATATTGATGACGACGACTATAGACATGCCACGGAGGTGTGGAACCGTTTCGACTGCTCAACCCTCGGTGAGTACAGCGACCTATATCTTAAGATCGACGTGTTGTTGTTGGCTGATGTGTTTGAGAACTTCCGCGACATCTGTATTTCAACATACAATTTGGACCCGGCGCACTATTACACCGCGCCTGGTTTTAGCTTCGATTGTATGTTGAAATACACCAGGATGAAGCTGGAGNCTATTACACCGCGCCTGGTTTTAACTTCGATTGTATGTTGAAGTACACTGGGATGAAGCTGGAGATCTTGAACGATTACGACATGCTACTGATGGTGGAACAGGGAATTCGTGGTGGGTTAGTGCAGGCTGTCAAGCACTATGCAAAGGCCAACAATCCTAAGACACCCGATTACGATCCGTCAAAACCAGACTCATGGATCGAGTACCAAGACTGTAAGTAATCTATACGTGTATATATAAACGTGCAATAATTGAGCGGTGGTTTAAAAACGTTTAATGTATACAGGCAATAACCTTTACGGGTGGGCTATGAGTCAGCCCATGCCGTACGGTGGCTTCCGGTGGTATAAAGGAGCAGACCCTCTGGCTGACCTCCAATCGTTGTCGGACACTGGTAATACGGGGCGTATATATGAAGTGGACGTATCGTATCCACAAGAGCTGCATGACGAGCACAACGACTTGCCGTTCTTGCCTGTCAACGATGTACCGCCGGGTTCCAAAGAGACCAAACTCATAGCCACTTTGAAACCCAAACAACGGTACGTCGTACACTATGTCAATTTAAAACAGGCAATCGCACACGGACTGCAAGTCGATAAAGTATGTATAATTAACCTATAAACTATAAGCGATGATACTAATATAAATATTTGTACTGCAGGTGCACCGCGTTTTAGAGTTTCAACAAAGTGCTTGGTTGAAACCATACATTGAGTTGAACACTGAAATGCGGAAAAAGGCGGCAAATGCTTTTGAAATAGCATTTTTCAAACTAATATATAATGCCGTCTTTGGCAAGTGCATGCTCAATGCTAAAGTGGTTTATTCGATAATTTTTTACATTTTATAGGGAAAACAATGGAGAACTTGCGTCCAATGGAAACGCATCCGCATTGATCTAATCTCCAGTCCCGAACGTCTAAGCAAGCTCGTAAACCAACCAACCTTCAACGACTGTATCAAATACGGTGGACACAAAGATGGTCAAGTTTATCAAACCTATATACGTCGGTTTAGCAATGCTTGACATTAGCAAGACACTAATGTACAAGTACTTCTACGACGTATTGAAACGACATTATGGCAGTGCAATCGAATTGGTTTACATGGATACAGGTGAGTACAACAGTACAGTAGAAATATTTTTTATATTTATATATTTTTAATTTTTCTCAGACTCCTTCATATACCTGTCAGAGTAGGCGACTTCTACCAGGATTTAGCTGATAGCCCCGATTTACTGATGCACGTGGATGCATCTAGCCTGCCCAAAGATCACCCTTGCTACTCCACCGATAGAAAGAAGATGCCCGACTTGTTTTCAGACGAGACCAGTGGCCTCGCCCTCTTTGAGATCGCTGCACTTCGATCAAAGTGCTGCGCATTTGACATGCAAGGCAGCGAACTCATAATGTCTAAGGGGATCCGCGGACACGTCGTCCGGAACCATCTATCTTTGGACGATTACAAACGGTATTTGTTCAAAGACGATGGTGATGGTGACGATGTGTCAAAACGAGCATTGGTTGGAGAGAATGCCCGTGCGGTCATCGGAGTGATACGCGGTGGTGAATCTCCACCGACATTATCGTTACCCTTCACACCGTACCGACAGAACGTGTCAATCCGTTCGTTTGAGTACGAGGTACGCACTTTACGTACAACCAAGTTGGTGCTTAACCGTTTCGATGATAAGCGCTACACGCTCGACAACAGAATCGACACGTTGGCCCACGGGCATTATGTTATACCACCATCGGAAGACCTATAGTTTTTAAGTTATTATCATTGTAAAAAAATATTGCCAAGAATTGAAAATATTTTTTGTAAATATACATGTATTAGTATATAAGTAGTTTTGAAACATTTTTTTTTTAATGTAACATAATGTAGTAAGAAATTGTATTTTTTGTATAAAACATATGTATATACGTGTACACATCTGAAAATATATATATACATATATATATATATATATACTACAACGTTATTTTCTCTTCTGTACAGTACAATAGTTGTACGTGTAAGATGCCATAGTATTTAAACTATAGTTACGTAATGAGATGTCACATTTTGATGGAAAGGTATTATCCACCAAAACTCTAAGAATACCCTACGGTAATTTACATGCATATGACATCATGCAGCTAGGTTTTTGACCATGTTTTAACCTTTCTGAAGAATTAAGAAGAAGAAAAATGATTTGAGTTTTATAGAAACATAGTTTTTTTATATGATGTTATTAGAGAAATAAAATCCTAGGTAATAATCATTATTTTAAACATTATTATTTAAACGTCTTTATAGTCTTTGTATCCATTCATATTTTCATTACAAATTCCGTTAAAAACGAGATTTTCACTCTGTCTTAGTATATAATAATAACAGCACTATTTTGTCAATGCAACATACGTTTATTTTAAACATTTTTTTTTTATAAATTATATACATATTTTAGATACTTGTCGTTTTACGACGGATAGCTATTACTAACAACTACTGTTGGTATTTCTTGGTTGTTTGTACTTGATGGTATGATTGTTTCCGACTGTATACTTGCATCTCTTGTATCATCGGCCAGCGACCCAAAAAATGTCGAGCATACGTTTTCTCCGTTAGATGACTGAAAAAATGATATATATTTATTAAATATGTTCTAATCAAATAGAAAAAAAAATGTAATTCATCATTTCTTTAGTATATTCTTCTAGCATCGTCCACCGTTGTTCCAACTGCTGGCTCGCAAATTGTTTTATTTGGCTTATGAAGCTAATTGTAAGGTACTCTTGTATTAGACAATATTACTAGAAAAATCAGAATAATTTAACTGAACTATATAAAAAATGTTGTGAAATTGATTAAATATAACCTTAATAACGAATATACACATCACAAATTTAATTAATTTCTATGACAATAATAGTTTTGTGTAAGTGTAATCCTAGAAGGAAATTATAAAATTTATCCTTTTTTAAAAAGCTTCAGCCTTTTCACGTGTAAAAATAGCATCACGTTGTATAGCTGAGAGCTTTAATTAAGTAATAGTAAAGTGACTTACTGAAGAGTTATAGACATAAATCATAGGCATTAAATATAAAATGATACTCCTGAAATAAACCAGAGATAGATAAACAATTCCGGGTATGTCAAATAATTCTATAAAACTGTTGACAAAATCATTTTTATCAATAAGTACGAAAATTCAAATTTTAGAAAAGTGAATTAATTAAAGTATTATCATTGATTAAATAAATACATTAATCATACAACTCGTGTGCTTGGATAAAGATGGTAATATTAAAAATTGATTATTAATTATTGAATTATTTATAATCGATGCACTTTTACTTGGTACTCTATTTTTTTTAAAGAAATCTTGAATTGATTATTCTCTTCATTTATGTATTTTTATTGGATATTTTTAATAAACCTCGTTTGCATATAAATTGATTTTGGCATCTAATAAAACCAAAGCGTCTTGTAATGACGATGCGCATAATTAGCGTTCAAATTTGATTCATTAACACTATAAACTCAAAATATCTTTTACAAATGAGTTTTCTCAATTTATTTTTTCTTCATTGTGTGATTTAATTAATTCAGTCTAACTCACTGATTGAACTGAAATTTTTTAATAATTCATATTTTATGCATTGTCTAGTTGTTGATTAATTAGTATTTAAATGTTGATCATTATTACATGAAACGTTTAAAAAGGATGAACAGTAACTAAAATGTTGGAAAAACTGATGGGGACATCATTAAATTAGATTCATCTACTATGTGTATCAAAGGTCAGTGGCGTGCCCAGGAATTTTGAATGGGGAGGGATGTCATAACTAATAGGTATTAATACAACTAAATACATTTAATGGGGGTTAAATAATTAGAAAAAGATTAATAAGGGGGCTTTAGAGGTCAAGCCTCATTGATATATTTATTAATATTTTGATACGACGTAAAATTATTTGACAAAAAAAGTAAAAATTTATTGTAATTATTACTATTATTAGCTGATTATTCTATTGATTTGAATTTAAACATATTATTTAATATATTTTTAAATAATATGATAAATATCATTTCATGCTCTATTAAATTACCTAAACATAATAAATACTCTCTTAAAATGTCCTAAAAAAAAAAATTATTTCACAACAAAATGATTTGTTTTTTTTTTTTTATACAATGATTTAATTTTGTAATAAAAATATTATAAATAGTTCAAAAAGTATTATTAATTTTAAAAACAATATTTTGATTTATGTGATAAGAAAAAATGTTTGGGAGGATTAAGTTGATAATTGTTCAACCAGTATCTTATAATAAAGAACAATTTGCTCATAAAAATTTTAATTGTTTCCTACACAAGATAATTATACAGAATTCGCAAGTCTTTGGAAAAAATGTAAATAATTTATTTCTAATAGCTATGCTCAACATGTATACAATGTTGAAAACATCATACAAATCTAATATTAAACCTTTTTGGGATTTTGTTAATTTACTAAAAAATCTAATAGTAATCTACCAGATTTTGTAAAATATAGTAACACAACATTAAGTAATAAAAAAATGAATTAAACTTGCACATTTTTTTTCTAGTGTTTATAACCAGGGGTGATAAATCTAAATGATCACAATAAACTTCAGCGAATATACTTAATATAAGCTACTAAAATATCGAATAGGAGATATTTATGATTATTTATGCTCATTAGATACTTTTTGTATTACAGTTTTTGATGGTATATCTTCTACTTTTCTAAAAGTTTGTAGCTTGATAATATTGACTCCGTTACAAATATTATATGATAAATTCTTAAATTTAAGCTACTTTCCTGATGATTAAAAAAAATCATTTGTGATACCAATTCATGAAAAAGGTGACAAACATGAAATTATCTACTATAAACCTATATCAAAATTGTTTATAATTTCATAAAGTTTGGGTATATTTATTGCAAATAAATAATACACGAATAAACAGTATCAATTAATATATTATAGCTATTTTACAATATAGCAGTTTAGATATATTAGCTTCGATGCGAAGCTGAGAAGGTATTAATTGTACTATGATGTGTTTTTTTTTTATTTATTTTTAGCTTCGATACGAAACTGAGAAGGTATTAATTGTACTATGATGTGTTTTTTTTTTATTTATTTTTAGCTTCGATACGAAACTGAGAAGGTATTAATTTTACTATGATGTGTTTTTTTTTTTGTGTTTGTGAACGCTCAATGTCAGCTCTCGCTGGACCGATTTTGATGAACAATATGTCAAAAGATCAAAAATCGTATCTAGTCGAAGACATTACCCTCAAAAATTGAAAAAAATTCCCTCGTTCCCCGTAAACGGGGGAAATCCCCCAAAAAATTACAAATTTAAAAATCGCTAATTTTCGATATTTTTTCTTTTTTTAGCTTCGATGCGAAGCTGAGAAGGTATTAATTTTACTATGATGTGTTTTTTTTTTTTTTTTTTTTTTTTTTTATTTTTTTTTTTGTGTCTGTGAACGCTCAATCTCAGCTCTCGCTGGACCGATTTTGATGAACAATATGTCAAAAGATCACAAATCGTATCTAGTCGAAGACATTACCCTCAAAAATTGAAAAAAATCCCTCCTTCCCCGTAAATGGGGGAAATTCCACAAAAAATTACAAATTTAAAAATCGCTAATTTTTTCATTTTTTTTTACTTAAAGTTGCCATAACTTTTCTAAAAATGACCAAATCAATATAATTTTTTTTTATAGATACCTTAGATATTTAGCTATCATTTTATATATTTTTGTAAACATTTGACCCTTTAACAGCCCACAAGAAGGGTATCAAAATCGTAACTTTTTTAAAAAAATTAACTTTTTCAACTTAACTTTTGAAAATGTTCCGGAAAGACTGAAACTTTTATATATATCTTAAATTAAAGCTAATGTAATATACTTTAATTTGAAAAAAAAAAATTTGACCTCTGGACTTGTCTTCGTGGTGAAANCTTAAATTTGAAAAAAAAAAAATTTGATCTCTGGACTTATCTTCATGGTGGAAATGACTACCCTATGCAAAAATATGCTATTTTTTTGAAAAAATTCTTGATATTATATTTTACATTTCTTAACATTATGATGCTATAACATTTTAAAAAATGCATGAACCAATTCTATTTTTTAATAATAAATACTTTATATATACCTTTTTCATTCGACATACTTTTTTTTTAAATCGGACCTTTTCCCTTTATACAGGGGGGGTGCAAACCTTTTAAAATGCGTATAGAAAGTAGAACTTTTTCAACTTAACTTTTGAAAATGTTCCGGAAAGACTGACACTTTTATATATATCTTAAATTAAAGCTTATGTAATATACTTTAATTTGAAAAAAAAAATTTGACCTCTGGACTTGTCTTCGTGGTGAAAATGGACATCAAAGTTAAAGAAAAACATACGATTTCCATGAAAAATTCTCGATTTTATATTTTATATTATTTAATTTATATTTTATATAGCTTTTGGAAAAATGTATGGATCTATATTATTAGTTTTTATAATAAATATTTATATACCCCTTTTATCTGGCAAGTTTTTTTTGTAAATCGGATCATACCCCTTTAACAAGGGGGGTCAAAACTTTAAACATGCATACTGTTACTAAGATATTTTCAATTTAATTTTTGAAAGTATTCCGGAAATACTGACACTTTTATATATATCTTAAATTAAAGCTTATGTAATATACTTTAATTTGAAAAAAAAAAATTTGACCTCTGGATTTGTCTTCATGGTGAAAATGACTACCGTATGCAAAAATATGCTATTTTTGTGAAAAAATTCTTGATATTATATTTTACATTTTTTAACATTATGTTGCTATAACTTTTTAAAAAATGCATGAATCAACTTTATTCTTTAATGATAAATACTTTATATATACTTCTTT